CTTGTTCCTCTTTGCTGAAGGTCTTCCATAGGGCTCCAGCAATTCTAATTTTAAAAATTAAGCCCTGGTTACAGTAAGTATGAATATTCAGACTGCCACTAAATAAGTTATTTTAACTTAAAGTTAAAAAAAAAAAAAGTAAAAAAATCTTTCGAAGATTTCAGAGAAAACATTGCAAGTGAAACAAAAATTGAGAATAATAATGAAAACATATTCTTTCTTTTTTATTTCTTAATTTTTTGTTTGATACATACCGAAAAATACAGATATTTGAATATAAATAATTATAAACTTCTTTATTTCTTATTACAACTTGAGAGACTTGATGATGTTTCAGTTCTCATAAGATTGTAGCATTGCAGAAAAGTCACAAGAAACTATCTTCATCACAAACTGTAGCTGTTCTTCGGTCCTGAATGAAGCTTTCGAAAAATTCCTGAATGAAGGAGCAATTCTTACAAGCAGTACGAATATAAGTTAATCAACCCCATACCTTTAAAGTCTTCAGTAAGATTTATATCACACAGTAAATAAATGGCTCCATTCGTAGATTTTATGTAAATTTTTTGGTTCGTTTTTCATGTCAGTTCATTTATAATGCCAATGGAAATAATACAAAATAAGATTCCAGACCAATTAAAATCTTTAAGTACTTCTTCGAATTCTTTTCGTAATAATGCTCTTTTTAAGACACAATAACACGCCGAATAAATACTAATTCAGAAGTCAAACAACAAAAATCAGCGTTAATTTACAAATTTTCACAGGACTAGTTTCGATGGTTTTACCGAACCATCATCTTCAGCTGCAAAACCGCAAATGAACAAGATAGGAAATAATGTTTAGATAAGATAAGAAAGCCTGGACAAGAATAAGCAAGTGGCGCCATCTGTTGGCGAAACCAGAACTAAAACATAATTTCTCTAAAAGCCGAAGGCAAATTTGGATTGGAATTAGGATCGTTAACTAGAACAGAAAGATTTTTATGAATGTGAAATGCCTCTAGAAAATCCAGTTCTCCAATGGAAGATGTTTTTTTGAATAATTTTGGCAGCAGAAAAATTGAAAGTGTGATTTTCGGACCAACAATGTTGAGCAACAGAAGACTTCTGTGTTTCCTTTTTTCTAACATATGCCTCATGTTCTTTGACGCGAAATTTTAAGGCTCTCTTAGTTTGGCCAATGTAAATTAAACCGCACTGGCAAGGAATCCTATAAATACCCCAGGAATTCATATCCGGAATGGGGTCCTTGAGTATAGAAGTTGGAATTTTATTGATGGGAGAAGTAAACAACCCGAAAGTTAAATTTCTGCAAAATATGTGCAACTTTATAGCTAATTGATGGAAAGAAGGGAATGACAACAGAATTTTTATAATCTCCTAAAATAAGAGTGTGGCTTTTAGTGTGTTGAGATGAGAATTTTTTAACTGCTTGATTAATAATGTTGGGTGAAAAGCCCCTGTCAATAGCTATTGATTTTAAATAATTTAGTTCTTCATCAAGGGCTAGTTTGGAGGAGCAAACTTGAAGAGCACGGAAAACATAGGAATAAAATGAAGCTAACTTTTGTTTAGTCGGATGACATGATTTAAAGTGTGGTGGAAGGCAAACCGATGAAGGTTTACGGTAAACTGTAGTACTGAAGTTGGATGTGTTACGTGTGACCAGAATGTCGAGAAAAGGAAGAGAATTGCAAGTCTCAAGTTCAAAAGTGAACTGAATAGCAGGATCAATAGAATTCATTGTTGAAAGAACTCTATTTAAATCATCTTTATTACCTTCAAACAGGGTAAAAGTATCGTCTACGTAACGGAACCATGCCGGGAAGTTTAAAGTTTCAAACAATTTTGATTCATAATAATGCATGTAGATATCAGCCAGGATGGGACTGAGGGGGCTTCCCATGGCTAATCCCTCAGTTTGCTTGTAATATTTATTTTGGAAAACAAAATGTGTTTGTTTCAAACAGAGTTGAGTGAGAGAAATTAGCTCATCAATTTCGATGCAAGAGAAATGAAATTCGCGAAGTCTGGTTTCTAGACATCTTAATGCACCCCTCCACTGGGACATTGGTGGTGAATAATGATTTTACATCAAAAGAAACCATGAGTAAATTACGAGGAGAAATGTTTTTAAACCTTTTTTACAAACTCTATTGAATTTTTATGGTGTAAATGTTATTGTCTAATAGATTGGAAAATCTAGAAACTAAATATTTAGCTAATGGATACGAGGCAGTACCTAAATTTGATACAATAGGGCGGAAAGGAATACCACTTTTATTGAATCCACTTTATGAATTTTGGGAAGAGCATATAATCTGGCACAATTCGCAACAGATGGGATAAGCGAATGTTTTAAGTTGCTTGAAATGATTTGCGAAGATTTGATCGCAGTTTTTATTTTGGATAAGTCCGAAGGTGAAGGATCTTTAGGGATCGGATTATATGGTCCTTCGTTTAAGAGTTTAGTGACACCATCGATGTAAGAGTTCTTATCCATGACGACTATCTGGCCACCTTTGTCGGCCTTTGAAATGACAATATCCGGGTTAGAATGAATCTCGCGCATTGTAGCTCTTTCTCTCGCAGTTAGATTTGGTTTCAAAGGTCTATTATTGAATTTCACATTATGAGCGATAAGATGCCTAATCATTTCTTTCTGTGAATCTGAAACTTTACTGAACTTGAAAGCTTTTTCGATAGGAGCCAAAATCTTTGGAATCGAGGGTTTACAGAGTTGTGAGAAGTTAAAATTATATTTTAGAATTCTCTCTTTTCTTCTGAAAGACTAACATTAGAAATATTAACTATTGGCTTGATGTTTACAATGGGGAGATTTTTTGAACTACTTGTACTGGAAGACTGTAAAAGAAGTTTTTCGAATTAAACTGCAAGGGTGTTTTTATGACGGTTAACTGCATTCTCCGTTCTAGACCAAGACTTTTGTTCAGGGGCAGTAAATTTTGGATATGATTTAGCGAGTTTCAGATGAAGCTTATAGAGTTCATGTTCAATTTTGGACAATTGTTGACGTGTATCCCTTATCACGGACCGAAGTAAGGCAAGTTTGCAATTTAACAGAATTCTTGAAACGCGACTCGAAGGTTTTTGATTAGATTTGATTTGAATAAAATTGGGGATCAATTTTTTACATTTACATTTAAGTAAAAAGTCAAGATGATTCAGGAATTTTTGCCGTTTCAGGCGTAATTTAGTGCTCTTTTTCTTGCATAATTTTGAGATTTTACGTTTGAAATAATTTTTCAAATGAAAAGTTTCATTTAAGATGCAGGAAATATTCGAAATTTTTGGACAAAAGATGTGTTTCCTAAAATTTTACTTAAAAAGCTTTTCCTGGTAACTCTTTATCGAGAATATTTAAACGGCCGGTTAAAGCAACAGAAATTCTGGTGTGGACATCACATGACTTCCTTGTACGGCCTATTAAATTATACACATTTTTTGCTGCACTTTATTTAAATTTATTTAAACTTATTCTTTTTAAATCAATCGATCCCTCAAAACATGTTGAAAATGACATCAGAAATAACAAATTTTGGAATTAAATATCCCGGTCCATTTTTGAGATTCGGAAATTAAACTTCTTAAAGTTTTATTTTTTCATAACGGGTGCAAAGGTATAGAAACCGGGAGACTACATTGAAAGTTGGACTACATTATCTGCTCAAAATTAATTTTTAGCCCGAAGGGACGTTAGCATAAAAGGGCTATTAATTTCGTTCTGGCATTTTGCTTTGGTTCACTATAAATGTCGGTTCACATTTCAAACTGTTGCCACCAAATGTTACAGTCCTGCATTATATTTGAAGAAATTAAATAATGAAGAATGTGCATAAATGTAAGCATGTTTCTCGCAATGTGATAAAACAACGGTACCTAGAGCCATCCGGTTTTGAATAACGTAATCCGTCCAACGAATATGAGCATGTGGAAGACCAAATTTGAATTTGAAATTTGTTTTATGATCGATTTCCTATTTTTTAAAACTTTGACGAATTTTTGATTAACAAACTCAAGGATTTAAAAGCGAGCAATGGCAAACTTGTGAGAAAAAAAACTTTTTATCTCCTAGCGCGAGGAAGTCTCTGTATCGGAAATTCTAAAGATTCGTTTTAAAATTATTTTGCGATATTGCTGTTGCACTGCATCTTATGGTTTAAGTGCGAAGAAGCATGATATTTAATAAAGAAAGGTAACACACAAAATGTTAAAAAAACGCCCCTTTGGACGTAATTTAAAATCTGAAACATTTCAAATTTTTTTTTTTTTTAGTCCAAAGGGATTTGAATCCCGAAGGACTATTAGTTTCGTTTTGGCGTTTTGCGTCGGACTCATAAATGTCGGTTCACTTTTCAAACTGTTGCCACAAAATGTTAGAGTCCTGCATTATATTTGAAGAAATTAAATAATGAAAAATCTGCATAAATGTATGTATATTTCTCGCATTGTGATAAAACAACGGTACATAGAGTCATCGAATTTTGAATAACGAAATCCTCCAACGAATATGAGCATGTGGAAATCCCAAATTTGGAATTTGTTTTATTATCGATTTTATATTTTTAAAACTTTAACGAATTTTTGATTTACAAACTCAATGCTTTAAAAGCGAGAAATGGCAACGTTATATAGAAAAAAAATACTTTTATCTCCAGCTCGCGAGACTGTGTATATCGGAAATTCTAAAGATATGCTCATTTTAAAATTATTTTACGATATTGCTCCTGAACTGAATTTTATGGTTTAAGTGCGAATAACATGATATTTAATAAACAAAGGTAACACACAAAACGTTAAGAAAATGCCCTTTTGGGCGTACTTTTAGATTTTGTTTTTTGTTTTCGTAAGTTTTAAAATTTTCAATAAAAATAGCACACTCTCCACCTGGTATACAAAACGTGTGCCACTTTTACACTGGGAGCAAAAGTGGAAGATGTCATCTCTGTGGCCTTGGCAATGAAGTAGATAATCAGGTTAAGGGAACGGCGAAAACCGCTTCCTGGATATGTCTTCAAGAAGTGGGTCATTGTGGCCAAGCGAGGTTCGTTGCTCGTCACGCTGCACTCTGCTTGGATGATACTCTTTGTTTCTACATGAAAGTTATTCAGGGGGTCTAGGAATGGTAAGTGAAACTTCTGTGTAAATATATTTAAGATAAGGCATGAGACTGAGTTAAAAGTTTGTACATTTAATGCTTCAAATTTGTGCCAATGATCCTTAGTGTGTCAACAGAAGCCGCAAATTCTCATTGTATGCAGTTCCTCCCCCCCTATTTCTTGATAGTTTTAATCGAAATATTTTTAAAGAAATTACTTTGTTTCTTGATAAAAATGCATAAAAGGTGACTGGCTTAAAATTTTTAATTTGTAGTTTAAACGGGCAGATGTTTGGCATTTTTATGTGGTTTTTGTTGCTGTTACTCTCTTAAGATTCAAAAAGCGTATAATAATGCTTTGTGTATAATACCATATTTCCTCGCGTATTTTCCACCTAACATATTTTTTCTCTCTGAGGAATAGTTTATTGGTAAATTGTATTCACTTGATTATTTTTATTTATTGTACTCAATTTGTATTTGCATTTTTATCTTAGCATTTTATCCATTTTATTTTCATTTGCGTCAACTATTTTATTCATTTTATTTTCATTTCATTCCATATTATTTTGATTTATTTTCTCCTGCATTTATTATTTGAAAAATACTTTGTGCAGATTCTTCGTTAGGCTACCCGGACTTGTCAGGTGTTCTCACACTTAAGCTTCCTAAACTTATGATTTCTCATTACTTCTATTATTTACATTCTAACGCACGGTAGTCTTATCTACTATTTCATTGTAGCCGATCTTTTAGAAATCTGGATCTTTTGTTTACTTCTTTCTTCTTTGTTTCTTCGATGTCCGTCTTGGGAACAGCGGCCAAGGCTCATTCATGTGAGACACCCGTGGGGCTTCCCAAGATAAGCGTGACGTGTCCACCCCAATTACTGTCAGGTATTATAATGTTATTATTCGCATGTATTCTTTATTGGAATGTAAGTTCCTTTTATAGAAGTAATACTGTGATAGTTACCAGTAGTTTATCCATGAGAGCTTTTCCTTTGCTAGTTACTATAACTGCTTTCTTTGGAAATTAAATTACTCGCATATGGAGAAAAAATACGCGAGGGGATACGATAATTATCCGGATCCTAATCCGGAACTTCGGCTATACAGATCGCTTTTACATTGTATGTCAGTGTAAAATGAAGCCTGTTCATTTTTTTGTTGATTTAAAACGATAATTTTCCAACATAGATGTTATATCTGGTCCGAAGGGTAATAAGGAAGCATTCAGAAGCAAGTGATCAATAAGAAGTGCTTGGAAGATTTGCTTGTTTTAGACATTTTTGAACAAACATTTAAACATTCACTTGATTGTATTATAAGGTATCTCCCTCCTTTCTTGCATGCCTTCGTGGTGCCCACTCGGCGCGTATTCGAGAGGTCCAGGTTCGAGTCCCGGCCAGGGCATTGCCCATTTTTCATGTACTCCGGCTTCACAAACACCTGATGTCTCTACAATATTAATAATTTAGTCACACATTTTTACGAGAATCATACCAAATCATGTTAGATGTCTCTTCAACGCCAGTTCTTGCAAGTCACATTTAATTTCTTTTCTTATTCGAAGAGATTGTGCAATCTAAATTTCTAAAATCATGATCATGGATTTTCAATGATAACCAAATAGCATGTTCTCAGGGGCGTAGCTAGAGTTTCCAGCGCCCGGGGACAACTGAAGAATTTGCGTCCCTTTCTATGTGCCAAGAATGGAAAACATTTCATTAAAAAATTTCGTAGTATCAATTTGGCGCCCCTTGGATGCTGCGCCCGGGGACAGATGTCCCCCCTTGCCCCACCCTAGCTACGACAGTGTATGTTCTGTCAATGTATACCATTGTGGATGCTGTAAGAGATAAGCTAAGGTATCTGTGCATGTTTTTAAGATTCATTATTATAAATATTTTGAGAAATCTTCAATCATTATTATTCTATTTCAGTACAGACAGTATGCGTTATAAATCAGCGCTTACAGATTTCATTCAAAAGGTGTCCACTATGCCATTGTTGCAAGGATAGAGTGCGCTGAAGAAGCTTAAAGGGGCCACTGAGCAAAATAACCTCGAAAAGGAGCAATGAGCACAAAGGAAACGGGAAACTATAATTTTTGAATAATACCAAAAAGACAATATAATTTAGTACAGACCAATTAATAAGTTATTATTTTTTTAAGAATAATTGTGTACGATGCATAAATTGTCGTACGATGTTTGGGAAATATACAGAGGCTGTTACAGAGTTTTAGAACAATTTTGAGGCGTTTAATTAATGTTTAAAAATTTTTTTTAATGTATTTTTAAATACATTCGATCTGGTGCCCTTTTTTCTCGACTGTAAGTCCGCATCGGGATTTCAATGATAGAAGAAGCTTTTCATAAAATTTTCAGGAATATTGATTTCCATGCCTCTTCCACTGCTTCCCAGAGTCCATCAATCATAATGGATTTGAGCTTAGAAAAAATTATTTTCAAGGCACCAAAAGCATAACAGTCCATGGCTGAAACATCAGGGAACTTCGCAGGAATATGTTGAAAAGGTATACCTGCGATACTTGTATTCATCTTCTTTTTTTGTAATGAATGCAACGGTACGTTTCGAAATATGACTTGTTGCTTTGTCTTGATGAAGTGTCACTCTCTTTAATTTTAATTTCCAATCGTAACAGAAACCCGCGACAGTTATAAATCCCTTACTGAAACTATCTTTTCATTGACGGAACTAAGTTTATGCAATTTTTTTCTCTTCGTTTTCGATAATAAAAAGACCTTTTTTTGTGCGTGTGTTGCAGTCATTTAGGTAAACTATGCTTCATAAAGGATCACAACGAATTTCCATTCATCTCAAGCTAAATAATTTTCATACAGGGTTCTACAAATTGTTCTGCGTCGAGCCACATGCTTCGGCCAAAGGTGGTGAACTCTATATTTGTTACCGTTTTCAAGTTGTAAATCTTGGTTTATCATTTCATTAACTGCTGCTGCAGATTTATTTAAAGACTTTCCAGTTGTCGGCAGGTTTCCTCTCTTTAAAATTAACTTTAGAAATATTAGAAACTGTACGTACCTTTTTTCCGGTATTCCTCTGGTAACTTCTTTCCATGTAGAAGCAATTGATGACGGTTTTTCCCTTTCCGATTACTAACCTTGCTTATTTTACACTTCGAAATTTTAATACTATGCATTTAACAATGCTTTTAATTTATGGAATACGAATACAGTGTCTCAAAAAAGTAATGGGACACTTGTGCTTTACAAAAGGAAACTGTAATAAAATTAATTAAAAAAACATGTAAGACTTTTTTGTGGGTGTGATTCATTCTTAAATTTAGTAACAATTAATACATAACATACATTTTCTCAAAATATTAAAATATTAATTTAATAAAATATAATTATTTAAAACGGAACAAAACAAAATGACTCACATAAGTGATGGACACCATTAGATACTACTACGTACTACAATAAAAATATTTTTTGGGGTTTTTATTTTTACTCAAAAGCAATTGGCAATAATTTATAAAATCGTCTGCAGTATTTCTCTCCAGTTTTGTTTGGAATTTTGTGTTTTTTTAGCTCTGTGCAGCCATGAATGCTAAACGAAAAGAAACTTTTCGCCTGAAATTCGAAAATTAGTTATTAATTTGCATATTGAACGTGAAAAATCTATTAGAGAAACTCCTGAAACAGTTAACTTGAGTCATTCAACAGTTTACAATATCATTAAACGATATAAAAAGAATCATATGATTCAGGATAAAAGAAGACCTGGCCGACCATCAAAGCTATCCAATGTAATAAAGTGAATTATCGTTCGAAATATTAAAAAAAAAAATCCAAGAATGAGTGCTCCTAAAGTTGCTGCTGATTTACAAGCATTATATGGAGTAATTGTTAAACCTGAGACTATTAGAAGAGTAATTCGATCGGCTGGATATCACGGTAGAGCAGCCAGGAAAAAATTCTTCGTAAGTGAAAAGAATAGAAAACTCAGACTGGCTTTCGCAAAATCCAACATAAATAAGAATTCTGATTACTGGAATGACGTTATATTTCCTGATGAGAGTAAATTTAATATATTTGGTTCTGAAGGTAGAATCTTGGTGTGGAGAAAACCCAGGGAAGAATTTCGAAAACAGAACTTGGTGCCAACAGCAAAACATGGTGGAGGAGGAGTTATTGTATGGGGGTGTATGTCGTCCGCTGGAGTTGGTACTCTTGTTTTTATTGACAGTATAATGGATCAGTACAAGTATATTGACATTTTAAATCAAATTTGAAATCTTCAGCGCGAAAATTGAACCTTCATAACGATTTTAAATTCTACCATGACAATGACCCCACGCACACTGCTTTGAAACATTAGACTCTGGCTGCTGTATAACTGTTCTGAAGTAATAAAAACACCACCACAATCTCCAAACTTAAATCCCATAGAGAATATTTGGCAAGAATTGGAATCAAGAATTCGCAAACACACCATTTCTTGAAAACAACAATTAAAATCGGTGCTTCAAGACGAATGAGGTAAAATCACTCCAAAAAAAAAAAAAAAAAAAAATTATGGAATCCATCCCAAGAAGATTAAATCATGTTTTAAAAGTAAAAGGAAATCCAACAAAATATTAAAACCTTTTAAAAGTAAAATTTTTGGATAAATATTTGATGGAAAAGTAAGTGTCCATCACTTAAGTGAGCCATTTTCTGCTCCGTTCTAAACACATTGTATTTTTATTAAATTAATATTTTAATATTTTGAGAAAATGTATGTATGTTATGTATTGTTACTAAATTTAAGTATGAAACACACCCACAAAAAATTTTACATGTTTTTTTAATTTTTTTTATTGCAGTTTCCTTTTGCAAACCACAAGTGTCCCATCACTTTTGTGAGACACTGTACTCTTCGGAAAGCGCAAAAACAATCCTCAGTCCACAGCTTGTTAACATAAGGCATTTTGAAGGAAGAATAAATTTAAAAGTGCCAAACGATATTTCTTATTCCAAATAATAAGCTGCCAAACGATATTTCTTATTCCAAATAATAAGCTGCCAAACGATATTTCTTATTAAAATAATAAGCTTTTTCCAGAAATTTTTATTCCAAAACATTAGTTTTTTAAATTTCTTTGTCGAAATCGTTTTAAAAATGTATGAACTCCCTCTGTACTTTATCTCGTGTAGATATAATATTGAAAGAGGGAAATTTGACATAGTGTGGATGCCTTTTAAAGGCAGTGTTCTGATTTTTTTCACCCTTTAACTTTTCGTCATCTTACTGTAATTTGATTTTATTTTCAGATTCACAGAGCGGTGGTCGCATTTTTACTGTTTGTTTTAGCAGAAAGTAAAGTGTTCGATAGATGTGAGCTGGGACGAGAGTTGTACGAAAAATTCAGCTTTCCCTTGGAAGACATTTCCAAATGTAAGTTCAGTCAAAGTTCTTGACTTCGAAATAAGTGAAAAATCATATTAAAATCATTAATATTAGTGCATTTTAAAAACATTAAAATAAAAAAAAAATTATTTTGAACGGCTTATTTACTACACATTGCAAGTGAATCAGATTTAAAACGATGTTTTATATATATTTGAACTCTTTCGAATGTTTTTTTATGAAAATAATTACTCTCTAAGATTACATACGTCGGCTTAAAAAGAGAAAGCTTCTAAAAAGTCTGCGTTGCGGAGTTAGCCTCCTTAGTATAGCAAGCTAGTGTTCTTAAATCCCTTAACCGAGGTTCTTCTGTAGACATTGGCCGTCTCTTCCGCTTCATATATTCATATATCATATCATCATATATCATATCTTCATATATTCATATCATCAGGATATTCACGGGATGTTAGTTGCACCTAGTTGCTGGAAACGTTAAATAAATATGACTTGTGAAAATAATGATTAATGAATTGCTTATGAAAGAAAGTCATGTATAAAATTTGCTCATTAAACTATTAGCAAATCGAAAATATTTCCTCTTTAAAAAATTCAACGGTTTGCATGATAAAGAGAGACCACGCATTGATTCTAAACATAATTATTTAGATGAGTGCATGTTTTCTATCAAATAAAAATATTTTTTCGTATTTGAGCTGTATTTTTTATAAAAAGAGTTTCAGATTGAGAACTAAACTTTTATTAGCCCAAAGGGCGTTACTCCAGAAGAGCTTTTAATTTCGTTTTGGCATTTTGCGTTGAAAACTTTAATTGTCGGTTCACTTTTCAAACTGTTGCCACTAAATATTACAGCTCTGTATTATATTTAAAGAAATTAAATAATGAAGAATTTGCATAAATGTATGTATGTATTCTCGCATTGGGATGAAACAACAATACATAGAGACATCAAATTTTGAATAACGTACGTTTCCACCCGAATATGGGCATCTGGAACCCAAATTTGGAATTTATTTTATTATCTATTTCATATTTTGTATAACTTTAATGAATTTTTGATTAACAAACTCAATGATTTCAAAGCGAGCAATCGCAACACTGAACGGGGGGGGGGGGGGGGGTAATTACCTTCAGCGAGACTGTATACCGGAAAGGGTGTACTCCAACTGCGCTAATGAAAATCCCCCCGGGTCGAGCTATAGTCCAACTGCGCCAATCAAAATTTCTTCCCCCTGCTGCCTACATGGTTACAATTTAACTTTTCGAAGCCAATTGTAGCCAAGAGGAAAATAAAAATAAATAAATAGAATTACATATCACAAGAACAAGTAAAAAATATCTAACAACCAGGCTAATTACTTGAATAACAGTAATTAATGCGTGAGCTAACAAAGAAAATAAAAGGTATTGGTAAAAACATACAGATTAGCATTACAAACATCTTTCATTTATGATAATATCAAAAATTAATAATTATAAACATAAAAAATTATACTTTTAATAAATTACATCAATAATAGTCAAGATGTTTGAACTAGACTGGAAAATTTAATAGAGTTCACTAGCGTGCAAATTATTCCATATAAAAGTGTGTTAAAGTGTGCTAAAAATATTTTTTGTTAATTAAAGTAATCATGTAAATGTTTGAAGAAATTAAATTCAGTTAAATTTTAAAAAAAGCTATTATAACAACATTACTATGCATTTGGAACACTGACGTATAAATTAAATAAATTTAAATTATTATGCCAAGAAGTTTTTTCTAAAATTTATCTAGAAGAAAGGAATTAGATACACAACACTGCAAATTAATATAATCAATCAGGCCTCTCAATAAATAAAAGTTTATTTTTTAATCCAAAAATTAAAAATTGGGATGCAAAAGTGTGAGTAATATACTTGGAAATATCTGAACATATAATAATTAGAAATATGTAATTAAATTAATAAGAAGCTATCATTAACAGTAACATTAAGCTTATTTTCATTCAATCTAAAGCAAGCAATCGATCAGGAGCTCCGCATAACTGAAGTTTTAATGCTATTTTACGTAGATTTGCGCATAAAATAAAAGTTGCATTTGTGAAACAAGTGAATAATGTACTGATAGTCAACAGAAATTAAAATACAGTGGTTAAAAATATAAGTACTTGTCAGAAGGTATGCAAAGTTGCCATGGCAAAAAAATTGAATGTTTATAGAAAACTCATAAAGCGCTACAGTGTGAAAAGAAAATTGTGGAATAAACATGTTAAGAAAATTGGATGGAGAAATAATCCTTAATTATGATATCCATATAAAACTCTATGCTTTTGGGAAAATGTTACAATAATTTGCACCGAGGTATCAATCACCGAAAACTGAGTTTTTAATTTCTTTCCTTATTTTTTCTATTAAGAGCGATTTGTAAAAAGATATGCGAAGGTAAAGGTGAAAATTTTTGCAATATTTTTAAAGAATAAATTAAAAAGTATTTTTACTTCATGAACTGAATTTTTACGCTACATTTTATACAGTAAATAAGTACCAAAAAAGAAAGAGCTGGGGGATCACTGGCGGGACGAGAAACTCGGGGTCGAAAACTACCAATGTTTAGTGACTTTCCACAAGACCTTTTGAAATTAGGCTGAAAAATATATTAAAGAAAATAGAAGATACAGCACACGTAAGAACAAAGTGGGCTGAATTAAGAGATTTACATGTTTGGTGAATGAGTTAAACTTACCTGTATGCCATTATGAAATATTAGGAATGTAGCATAAAAGCATGAGTGAAGAAGGCAATGGCAATCCAAATCATTGTAATCTAAATGTATATCATTATCAGTATCTGCTATTAATTTCAATACTGCTGAAAAAATTATAAATGAATTATATTATAAATCACATGAGCTCGTTGCATTATAAATTACAACAGTTAGAAATATTATGAGCGTCATTTAGAGACCATCTTTGTTAACAAAATTAATTTCAAGTAATTAATTTTACAAATAATTCAGCCTGAAACTAGGTTGGAAAATAAGCTACATGCTGAAGATTAAGCTTTGCCAAGGTGTTAGAAACATCTTCTGTTAACTAGAGTTGTAATGCAAGAATTTGTCAAAATTATCATTTAAATATAAATTGACATGAATACAATACAAAAGTATATAAATTCTACATACATGAAAGCTTGAAGTACAGTGCAATGCAACAATGTGTGAAAAAGGAATGGATTAAAAGGGAACTGAAAAGTCCCAAGGATATGTAATATAAGGGAGTTATTTTATTTTTTTTATTATTTATTATTTTTTTTGTTAATTGTGAAAATTCTGCAGAACGCTCATAATTATCAATTTATTAATTAAATGTGTATCAGAAATTAAATGCATGCCAAAGTACATCAGGTAGAGTAACTCGAAAACAGAATTAATATTTAAACGTTTCTAGTATTAAAATATGGAATTTGTAACAAAGCTAAATAACCTTAAAATAACTTCAATGATTTAAAAATGGAAAGCTAATATGGGAATATATTGCAATAATATTAGTGTGAATTTAGAACGACTTAGAAAACCAGTTTTAGATTTAATAAAGATAATTTTTATAATTAAATTAAAACTGTACCTAAAATGGTAAATTGAAAGTTAAAACCATTCTGCTATCTAAAAAGATTTGTTAATATTATCTAGACAAAAAACTTATTTAAGGTGAGCAAGAAATCCGATATTTGATACATTGATTATGTATCAGTTTTGTGTATGTCATTAATCTATCAATTTACTATTCAAAACTGATATATATATATATATATATCAGCGAGCTAAAATCTACAACTTGGAAAGTTTTTAATTCTTACAGGAGAATTAAAACAGATCTGGCTCATTATTCCTTTAAGCACCATAAAACTTTAAAATGAGTCTAAAAGAAATTTATTTTTACTTTAAGCACACGCCAGACTTTAGATTAATATTTGTTTTACATGCACAATTTTTACAATATTGGTAAACGAAAATAAAGGCTTGCAGTCTCAATAGAATGTCCCATTAATGGCGATAAACGACTTTTTGTAGCACCCAATCTTCTTGGAAAGAAATGGGGGACAGGAAAGGTCGCGCAGTTCGTGGATTAGAAAAGAGGGGAAAGGGGATTTTCGATCAAATTTGGCGCAGTTCGTACCCTACCACCGGAAATTCTAAAGATATGCTGATTTCAAAATTATTTTGCGATATTTCTCGTGAACTGCATTTTATGGTTTAATTGTGAAGATAATGATATTTAATAAATAAAAATAGCCCACAAAACGTTAAAAAAAATCCTAAGGACGTAATGTAAAATCGGAAATTTTTCAGTTTTTTTTTTTTTTTTTTTTAATTTTTTTTCTTCTTAAAAAATCTTTTTAGATTTTAATAATTAGAAAAAATAAATATTTGAATATTACACAATTAATTCAAGTTATTGGCAATGGCTAATTTGAAGAAAAGAATATTAGTTTCAGTAACGAACTTAAGCAGTTTTGATAAAATTACTTTTAATTCTGTATGAGGTGAGCTGGGTATAAGACTGTTCTAGCTATAATAAATAATATATTTTGATATTTTAATTCCATGTAAAGATAACCTGAATGCACAATTTGTAAGCGTTCAACTTTTAAAAAATTTTCATATTTTAATACCTCTAAAGTACACAGAATATTATGGATAAAATTTTTACTTTACTTATAATAGATACTATTCTTTCTTATCTCATAATTTTCTATCTGCATAACATTTTATATTGCCATTTTTAGGCTTATGTCTAGTTCCACATTTTATGTTGCTCTTTTTAGGGTTATGTCTTGTTCATTGGGAAAGCGGATTTGATACAACAGCTGTAAACAAAGGCGCCACAGAAAATTCACTAGACTATGGATTATTTCAGGTAAGAACACATTTATTATTCTTGGAAAAATGAATTTATTCATAAGAATTACAGAAACAAACACAGAAGAAATTGCTTGATAGTATCTTTCGTCTGATAAGAGAATTTTGAGTATTTGTCTTCTGCAACGGCCTTGGACAAACAAGGTTACATTTAAATTCTATGAAAAATGTGATTCCTCCACTCACGAAGTTATTAAAAACATAGGGGAGTACGATTATTTAATCAAACTACCGCATAAATGGCCCAAGACTATACATCGTAATGTTAGATGGTAGTTCTTGTATATATTTTATTACTTTCAACTATTTAATCTAGATTTTGTTTCATCTTTATCATCATTTTCATCTTATTACGGACTTTGCCCGGTACCAAGGCTACTGACTTTATCATCATTAAATTCGTATATCACGTGACAGTCCACTTCCCTATGAGTTTCGCCTCAGACGAAAGCACAAAATTTCTGCGATATGTATATATTATTTTCTATTTTTACTATACGATACTGTGTCAGATTTACGATAATGTGTTAAAGATATGCCAAAGTTATGCCTGACGATATCTAATTGCTATTATTGCTTATCCAACGAAGACTTCATCCGTGGCCGATAAATGGCGCCAAGTCTGATCATCTTCATTACTGAAGACTTAGCACTTTTATTATAAGTGCACAAGATTTTTTCACTTTTATGGAATTTAACGAACTTCTACAAGTCCTTAGGGGAATGATAAACATGTAGTGGTAAAGGCTTTCGGGTCGAACACCACTTCACGAATGATGATCTCCGATCTCCGATGAACAAACAAGGTAGATGGTCTCAGAGATCACGTGACATATTTATAACTAATGTAAATAAACAAGATCATTCTTTCTCTTCTTCGCTTGCGCAGTACATCTCACTACTTTCGATACTTTCGATTAGGTATTTCATATATTTTTATATTTTTAGAAATTTTTTTGTCTAAGGTTCATTTTTACGCATTATTATTTCTTTATTCATTCATTTTGTACTTATAATGAGATACATTCCTCATAGATCACGTGACTTATGTATACCTTTTGTAAACAAACAATGCGGAAGACCTCAGAGATCACGTGATTTATGTACAGCAAATGGAAAAAGTAAGTAGTTCTTCTTTTTCTCTTGCGGAATGTATCTCATAGCAATACCTTAAATATTAAATTATTCTTATTTAATTTTTAAAATGATGTCCTGGTGAATAATGATTTAATTTCTTAATTTACATTATTTATCTAGTTTAAGCTGCTTTAGGTCTTGGTTTAAGTCCTTATTACATCTAATTCCTATTATATACATACATATATACTCGAAATTCACTTTTTACAGACTTTTTCTTTCGGCCACAGTTCAGGAGTTACTGCTAATAATGCCTCAAATATCAGATATAGCTTCTTTCTGCACTGATAGAAGTCTGAAAAAATAAGCATAATGAATATTTTATGATGAAAAACCCGTACTTAGGTGTTATCTCGTTGACCGCCCAAATAGCGCGATTTAGTGCCAAATATGGATGGTTTTGTCCTTTAGAATTCTAAAGTAACAACTGGTGATCTCTGCAAAATTACACTTACGACCTCTCCAAAGGTCGTAAGTGTAAGTACAAGATGTAAGTAAGATGTAGGTTAATATGTAAGTACAAGAAAAAGCGATATTGACACAATGGTAAATACTAAAAAGCAGTTAGACTGATTACCGTTTGTTTCTTGAACATGCACAGATAGGTAATCATTTGTTTCTCGCCAAATGCAGAAACATTTTCTCTTCAAGGCTGCTAGACAAGAGTAACTTTGTTGCCGAAGTTTTAAATTTATGGTAACCTGTTTACCTTTCATTTCGTTGCTCGCCCACCCCGACGGGAAAAAAATTGCATGTTTCATTCTTTTAAATAGTTTTAACCAAGTACGCAAACCACAATTGACGTTATTATCGCTTATAACAGTAAATTCACATATATCTTAGAAAATTTCGAATAAAAAAATTCAATTTTTCTCAGATGTGCTTAGAAATATATTTACCTTAAGATGACGGTAAAAAATTTATAGGTCATAATTAAAAACGTTTTTCGAAAAATTTATAAAATTTACTAAAAAATACAAATTTCAAAAATGCATCAGAAAATATCTGCGAAATTTATTTAGATGGAAAATAATTTTCGAATTGTGAAAGAAGGAATCAAGTAAGTTTAATTAAAAAAAAAATATAAATAAATAAATAAATAAATAAAAAAGGTATTATTAAACATATACCAAATTCAATTAACACTGGGGAGCTAAAATTTTGAGAGCTATTTTTTTAAAAACTATTCAAATTATTCGTGTAATTGTTGGTTGGTTGGTAACGGAGGACGGGGACGCCTGATGTCTAACAGAGGTAAACAGGCATGTGTCCCGCGCCCTCCACTAACCAGGAACAACTTCCTGATACCTCAAGAGGCCGCCTCGAGAGCTTTTTAGGATGTTAACAAGAGCATTTACATGGCCATACAAGGGCAGAATCATTTGTTTTACTGTTTTTACATTTGTTGTTGCAATTTGCTATGGTAATTTTGCATATTCATAATAAAATTCAAATAAAAATACAAATTAAAAATACAGTTACAAAATAATAGGAATAAAATACAGGCTCATAGGTACAAAACATTAAGTATTATGCATATACAGAAACGTTAAATACATGCTGCAAACATTTGCTGTACATTATTTGAAAAGTGTCTATAATAGGGACTTATGTAAATTTTAGGAGTAGACTTATGTGTCTGCGGATGTGGAACTACGTGTTGACTTAGTTAGTGTATCATACCTTGCGAGTTTTGGTTAATGAGGAGAGCACAACTCTTGGCCCATTATTCCCTTCAGCTTGTTGACAACTTTGCAGATTGTATTTACTGCCAGTTTGTGCTTCTCTATTGTTATCTATTGTTTCTTATCTATCTTTCCTATTGTCTTATCTATTGTTAATGGGAGGAGGGAGGTGATTTCCTGCTGTCAGATGGCATTCAAAAATATATAGTGGTCTGGGGAGCCTTCCGCTCCGAAGACGCATATGTCCGTGGTTGTTATGCCATCTCTATTGAAGTAGGTCGTGAATGGGCCGTGTCCCGTAATACACTGACTACCAATAAGTATTTGGACACCTATGCAAATGACGATATCTGCAATCCCAAGGTACGCCACGGACTCCGCCTGTATATATCGCGTAGGAAACAGCATCGGCTTTAGTCGCATGCAAAATGCCTCGCAGTTCGGAGCTCTCTGATTTCGAGAAAGGTATAATTATCGGGTATCACAAATGTGGCCGATCCTTAAGGGGCATATCTAGCGATCTGAAGTACCCAATATCGACAGTCGACAGTGGCCTATGTGATAAAGAAGTGGAAGATGAGGTGACTGTCGGAATGTGCCCCGAGTCGGCCAACGAAACTGGGGGATAGAGACCGATGAGTGCTGTTCAGAGAAATTCGGAAGAACGGCACCCAACCGATGGCCCTCATCCGCGAGGAGTTTCAACAGGTATCCGGGAGTATTGTTTCAATGAATACCATCCGTAAGGAAGCATGCTTGGTTTTCATGGTCGTGCTGCTGCCCATAAGCCTTTGATCACAAAGTCCAACCGCGCTGCTCGGTTAATGTGGTGCAAAGCACATCGAAATTGGACCGTAGATCAGTGGAAACAGATTCTTTGGAGTGACAAATCAAGGTTCACCCTTTACCGTTCGGATGGCAGGGTCTGGGTCTGGCGTCTACCTGGAGAACGTCTCCTGCCAGAATGCATTGTGCCAACAGTCAAGTTCGGCGAAGGTGGAATTATGGTCTGGGGGTGTTTCTCCTGGTATGGGCTGGGACCCTTGGTCCCCATTCATGGTAAGCTCAACTCCGATGCCTATTGCACTATTTTGGATGACAATGTGCTTCCTACGTTGTGGCAGTTTTACGGGTTGGACCCCTGTTACTTTCAGGACGACAATGCCAGTTGTCATGTTTCGACGTTAACCAAGGCTTGGTATGGTGCCAATGGAGTTCATCGAATGAACTGGCCGGCCCAGAGTCCAGACCTGAACCCTATCGAGAACCTCTGGGATGAGTGGCATCGCCGAATTCAGGGGTGCACTACCCGTGCAAAATCGGTGAAGGAACTTCTATGTCTTCTCCAAGCCGAGTGGAAGAAAATACCACTAGCTGTCATACAAAGACTTGTGGAAAGTATGCCCCGGAGGGTCCACGCTATAAATACCTCTCGTGGAGGCTCTACCAACTATTGATTTTGAATTAAGTTTTTCTTTTCTATCACAGGTGTCCAAATACTTATTGGTAGTCAGTGTATAAGCCGTAAGAGGAGCTATTGCAATGTTGCTTTCGGTGTTCACTTTCGGGAGGTATTTGTATGTACGTCTTCCAGTTGTGCAGACAGTCGTGTAATTGTTACAAAACTCAGTCGTGTAATTGTTACAAAACTTGGCACTGTGGCATAATTTGAGTCGTAGAATCGAAATATGGAAAAAATTGGTATTGTAACCCCACGGCTCAACGATCGCCACCTAGCGGCCGCCAAAAAAACACCGGCCAAAAAAAACTATAGCTTTCAGTCGATGTACAGGAATCATGGATTGAGCATGGTGTTCCTCGAGAATTACTTTGTAACTTAAATTATATTTAAGTTACAAATATTAAATTAATATTCGTCATAATTATACGCCCTTAATAAATTTATTAAGGGCGTATAATTATGACGCCCTTAATTGTAATGTTTTATCTTTATTGTGTTTTGTTAATTAAAGCTAATTAGCTTTAATTATTTAAAAAGACCAGGAGAGTCTTTTGCTTATGGTAGTATTGGTTATAGTATGTCATTTCGGAGAAGTCCAATTTGGTGTCAAAATACCTATGTTAGAACAATACTGTACATAAATAAAAAATACATATCCATAAGTCGCACGTTCGAAACATGAAAAACGCAAGTTAAATTTCGTCAATCGGTCCAGTAGAACGGGAGAAATTAAACTGCCCCCCTTTTTTGTTGCGCAGATTGTTCCTACTTACTAAACAATAACAGAAATCATTTCAATTTCGCCTTTTAATTACAGCAATGTTTATGTTTGCATAAATTATACATACTTTCTCAATCTGAACTATAGCTAACCCGTTTTTTTCCATAGACAGTTAATTTTGCGGAACGCAATTTGGCCGTACGCGCGATATGTTAATGGCGTAACTCACGGATTCAGCAATACTTTACTGTACTTTTCTCTCAGTTTGTAATCAACTGGTTGCGAAACCGATAGAGTAAAAATTATTGTACTTTACTTTTGGACCTTTCTTCTTAATTATCAACTCATTTTCCATAATCATGTTTTTTTTTAACGATACCATATTTATTAACTACTTAGTTTTAGTATACTAAGCTCTGATTAAATACAGTTTTAGCATTTGTACATTAATATACTTCTTTCAGATCAATGACAAGAACTGGTGCAAAGGACCCCTCCGACCCAGTGAAAACCAGTGCAGAATACCTTGTGAAAGTATGTTCTGTTTTCAAGTCACTATTTTTCTGTAATACAGTTCAAATAGTAAAGTAATTTTTTTAACAAGCACTAAATAGTTACAAGAAATAGAAGTACTCAGTTTCAGAAAATTTTTAAAAACAGTATTACCTTTCAGAACATACTCAAATTGCATATAGCTTTACATCTACTTTTAAATCAAAGAACCTAAAAAAATTAACATATTATCATTAATATTATCTCTCATGCATGAGTGAATGATACATAAAACGTTTTCCTAAAATGAAAAGTAAATTTTTTTTTAACATATGAACCCTGCTGTGAATTGAAGGAAACTGAAATGGTATGTTCGAAACCTTGTCTTAATATTATTTTTCTGTGCAAGAATGTAACTAAAAGATGACCCAACAAGATCAGAAAATTTTAATTTGGTTTCATTTTTGCTGTTTTGCTCTGAAAGAAAACCATTATATGCCTGACGGAAGATAGTCAGCCATCTTTGAAAACGAAGCGCTACTCGGCACAATAACGCATTCTTTATGTTAATATTATTTCAAAATGGTGAAAGTTTGAGTGTCACGATTCGCAAACTGAGTTCAGTTTTTGATAAACAAAATATTCGAAGCGCATAAGCAGTGAAAAGAATAATAAAAAAATCCGAAGAGACTAAGTCAATTACTGATGTCAGACCATCGGCACGTGCTCATCTAGGTCGTTCAGCAGAAAATATCACGGCTGTTGGACATTCATTCGGCATTGTGCTCAAGAACTACTAGATATTTCAAGAAACACTCTTCAGCCTATTCTTGTGAAAGATTTGCGTCTTCATGCCTACAAAATTCAACTGACTGAACAACTCAAGCCTACAGACAATGGAAAACAAACAGAGTTCATCAGATAGGTCGCTGAACAAATGAACGGTAAGTCTTCCAACAAATCTTCTTCAGCGTCGAGACCCGCTTCCACGTTGATGGCGTCATAAAGAAGCAAAATTGCCACATTTGGAAAGAGGAAAACCCACATGTATTTCATGAGAAGAAAATGCATCCGAAACGTGTCACTGTTTGGTGTGGATTTTGGACTACAGGCATCATTGGACCATTTTACTTCTTGGAAGACGTTGCTGCGAATGCACAAACAGTCAATGCCAAACTGTATTGGGAGATGACAGCCCAGTTTTTTTTATGCCTCAGATGAATGGTATGGATCTTGATACGGTTCCAGCAGGACCATGCTACTCGCCATCTATCAGGTGAAGCAATAGCATTGTTGCACGAAACATTTCCTTGTCATACAATTAATCTTTTGTTTGTGTGACCAGAACTAGCAGACTAATTTTTGCGATTTAACGCTTTTGGATTTTTTTCACTGGAGATTTTTGAAGTCAAATGTTTATGCTAACTACCCATGACCACACAAGCCTCGAAAGAGAAGATTAGACCAAAGAAGATGAAAAGTTTCAATTCAAATTCTTTAATTAGACTCTCTGTCGCTGAAAGCGAACCGTAGTTATGCCAAACCATGATTGGCAATTTCTTCAAATGAATACAAACGTGCCAATAAAGCCAAAAAGGGCATTTATTGGATATGTTGTTCCATATATCCCCTGTCTACTTCATGATTAAACCAAAATTTCTGTATTTTCTCCAAAATTGCGTTTTATTTAATTTTTAATTTTCCACCTTGTTGGAACATGTTGTTTAATTTTCCACCTTGTTGTGTTAACCCTTTATGTTATATTTTGTCACAACAGTTGAAACTTCAGCTTGTTTTTAATTGTATAAAAATGCACAGAATATTTGGTTATACCCAAGCTAAAAATCAAATAAATAATATTAAGTAGTGAAAAAATATTAGTTTTCCAGTTTTAAAAACCTTCATTAATAATTAGTAAGACTTTTATTTCTTTTAAATTCAGGATTAAAAGACGATGACCTTTCTGATGACATACAATGCGTTCGAACAATTATACAGAAGAAAGGCTTTTATGAATGGTAAGCCATAATTTATGCTATTTCTGAAACTAATGCATTAATACTAATATATTATATTACTAATATATTTTGTTTCATCATTGGAAGCACACTATTTTGAAACAAAAAAAAAAAGTTATATGCTTTGCCATTTTCTTAAACGGAACTATGAAAGGTAATGAACTATGAAAGAGATTAAGGCGTTTTTAGCTATTATGAAATAAATAATTATTCCAATGCATAATACACGAATAAACTAAGTTTACTTCTTTAGAGTTCTGTGAATACTTCGAAATTAATATAAAATCTAAAAATGAATTAATGAGTATTTTGATTTGTCATAAACAGAGCTTAAACTCTGCACCGGAGCTCGGCTCTGGTACTTCTCGACTTCTTAAGATGAATCGCAATTCTAGCCGAAGAAGTGCCAGAAGTGCTCAGCCACTTCTTTTATGTAAGTTTCAGGAGGTAAAGTTTATTGTAATGTTAAATATGCCTTAAAAACCGTTGTCTTTCCCTGGGAAACAACCCCTTTAAAGGAAGTTGAGACTTTTAAGGAAAGAAAAGTCCGTCCACATGTCAAAGGCCAGGAATTGCAATGAATTTATGAGAGCGGGTAAATTTTACAGTCCTGAAGTTTCTAAAAATGACCACCCTGGTCATGCACGCCCAACATTAATGACTTCACACGCTGCACAGCTCTTGCAAACCTTTTGAATGATGTAATCAAATATGGCGGAGGAATATCCCTTATACAGTGCCTTAGCTTTGTTCTCATATCGTAACCGAGAGTCTTCCCTCTTCGCCTACCACAATCTCTGGAGAGGACTTTCGGCTCGCCGCATATTTAGAGTGCCCCATACCGCACAGGTATTATGCATTTACAAACAACTATGCCTTCTCCGGGATTCAAACCCGGGCTCTTCGGTACGGCAGTCAGAGTCACTATCCCGGTTGGGTGGCATATTTGAATATGAAGATAGTATGCAACAAACCTGATGTTTCGAAATATAGTAGAATGATTTTTTTGCGAATAACAGCACCTATAAACGCTATCGCCTTCTTTATCGATTCAGAAAATTTGTTTTTCTAAATATAACAATCCGAAAAATAGATAAGACTTTTGTACCATACAAAAAAAAAAAAAAAAAAAAAAAAAAAAAAAAAAAAAAAAAAAAAATTAAATAATGATGAGTTAAATACTGTTTGAACATAAATAAGCGCGAACGACTTCACATTTGCATTCAGTAAAAGAGCGAGCTAAGAAAAAGATCTAAATGGTGACTTGTAGCAACGCCTGTTTAAGAAGGTGTTGTCTGTAACCACATAAGACGCACAATGTTTGGCCTTGCGAATACTCACGGTCACAACCGCTTTGAGAAGACAATATTAAGCGGATTTATGTCACAGAAGACGCCGCTTAATGTGATCGCAGTTAATATTATCATACGGATATTGTTATGGAATTCCCGAAGTCCCGCCCGTCGGATAAAATTCAGCCAAAAAGTGCGTATTAAGTAGACGTTTCGGGTCAGTGGTAATTTCATTTTAGAACAATGTCTGTAGGTGAATGATGAGATAAATTTTATCGAGAAAATAACTACAATACGCTTTAAATTCTAAACATAAAAATTAAAATTATAAGTATAATTATTTTTAAAAAATGAACTTTATTTTTTTCTTCGATACCAGTGGCGCCCTAGATACTGAAATTGTGACGCCAGTTTAGTCAAGTCTGGCTTATACACTGGTGAAATAAATTAAGAAAATTTGCATATTTTATCGGATTGCATGAAAAGAACTGAACTGAAAGAAAAACCACTGCTTCTAGATAAAAATACAAATCTTGTACGGCAAATACGCAAGCGTACACGTGTGTATAGGCGTAGCCAGCAGAAAAATAGGCTTTATAAGCGCGTGGAGGGTAAGACGAATTGCGTTCGCAAGCACACCTCGGCGAATTTCTTGGTGTTATCTTGCAGCAATCGATTACATTCACATCGGAACAGTAAAACTGAGTAACCACCAACGTTTAGATGATGGAATGAGGTGGTGCATTGTGGGGAGACTAGAGGCAGGATAATCGCAAGTCCAGATATGCAGAGAGTTTACATTAACGCCCAGCGGGTTGTGTGCAACCTATGGAAACAGTACCAGGATACTGGATCCATCGAGAGAAAGCCTGGGCAAGGTCGTCCAAGAGCCACGACGGCCAGAGAAGATCGCTATTTGTCCAATTTATCAAGGCGTAACAGAGGGGCTACAGCTTCTCAGCTTTTTCGGGACCCGTATGCAGCCACAGAAACCCGAGTAACAAGGGTGGCTGTTTCCAAAAGACTGAATGAGACAGGGTTGTTTGCTAGAAGACTGGCTTTTGCGTCCCGCTCACGTCTACGGAAGGGAAGCGTGGTGCAGGCAGCATAGTGATTGGAGTACACGGAGCAATGGGCCACCGTTCTGTTCACTGACGAATCCCGTTTTAGCCTAAACACCGATTCTCGCCGTACTTTCATATGGGAAGAGCCAGGGATCCGCTACCTACCCTCCAATGTCCGAGAAATCAATTATGGCGTTGGCGATGTAATGGTCTGGGCAGGCATCATATTCGATGGCCGCACTCTTCTCCACGTCTTTGACAGAGGCTCTGTGACTGGTGTGAGGTATAGGGCCTATGTTCGTCTTTTCTGGGGTGCAGTGGGCCCCGGGTTCATCTTACAGGACGATAACGCGAGGTCACATAGAGCTCTTCTGGTCGCCGAATTTCTCGAGAGTGAATATATTCGTCGGATAGATTGGCCAGCCAGTTCTCCGTACCTCAACCCTATACAGCATGTCTGGGACGCTCTGGGGAGGGCAATTGCAACTCACAGCCCCCCTCCGAGAACCATCCAGGAACTGAAAACAGCGTTGCTGAATGAGTGCAACCAGTTGCCACAGGCACTGATAAACTGCCTTATTTCCAATATAGCATCACGCTGCGAGGCCTGTATAGCTGTAAGAGGAGACCGTACCCCCCCTATTAACCGATTTCTTTTGTGTCTTCTGCAACCACTGTTTCAGACCTTCAGATTCCCATGAGTGTTACACATGAACTTGTGTGTCTGTTATAACTGTTGAATGTTTATTTTGTTTGTATTATATCAACCTATGTTAACAACCAAATTTTATTAAAATCTGTCGAGTAGTTCTGGAGATCGTAGATCAAATATGAAAATTCTCTTAATTTTTTACACCGGTGTAAGTAATCTTCTTAAGACGAATACAAGCATCTGAATTTTTGGTAGTTAATCTGCTTATGTTGTTATTTAAAATAAATTTCATACCTGAAACATTTGCTCGAATTTATAAGTTGAGACGAATGCGGACAAAATGGCAAAGCCATTTTTTTGGAATAATGGATCGATGTTGCCAAACTTATCGATTTCTCTTTGAAATTACGTTATAATTTAAATTTTGTAAAAATAAAAATGCATATTTGTTACTGTAATTTTATAATCATGCTGTTATTATTTGTTTTCGGTTAATTTTTTATATATATGCTAGGTTTAAATCTGAATTAAGACGTGTTCTCAATTTAGCGATGAATTTAATTAGTCCTTTGGCTGTCATCGGGGTTTAATTACAGTTTGAAATTTCCAGTTACATATTTAAGCCCATTTTCCCAACTTTTCAGCGAGCAGCATTCTTTTGGAAAAGGTATCTAGTTGGTATTCAAGATATTTTTTGTTTCGTCAAGTACTATTTAAATTATTTCCGAAGAAATACAAAATCTGATTTATGAACCACAATTTGGCGCTGTTGCAAAAATAAATAAATAAATGTTACAGCGCCTTTTAATAGAAATAATAAAGTACACATTATATGGTTATTTTTATATATTAAACACTCTATGTTACACGTAAGAAAGACACACAAACGGAAAATATCCAAGGTCCTTTTAAAAGCAAAATTCTTCTGTTCTCTACAAAATCACTACATCCGACATGCATTTAACCAATCAGTTTTTGACACATTGTCAGAAAACTTCTGTTTTGTATTGGCTTGTTCAGTTTGCCGCAGCTGTTTCATTTCTTTCATTTCCATTGCTGAAGCAACTTATGGCGATACATTACACATACTTCAGAATATGACAACAGTTTTATTATTTTCTATTAGCAGCAGATGGTTTTTTTCTACAACTTGATAAGGCATATGATGATAATAAAAGCTACATCTGGTACATAATATTGCAAAATGATTTATATACTATTAGTGCTTAATTCATAAAGCATTGCTACCTCTTTTAATAGTGTCATATTACCTAAAAGCTAAAATTAGAATTTAAATATTAGATACAACTGAATAAATGAAACCTTACAAATAATCCAAGAAGTTATGAAAAATTTCTCATTTTCTATCATGAAAGATTATTTTAATATGGCAAAGCACACAAAGGCGATCGGCCTAAGGAAAGGATACTTCGTGGATAACTTTTTAAGGGAAACTGGCTCGAATTCACGTTACACTTTGTAAAGCGAATGAAAACCATGAAAAACAATCATACAACCTCGTCTGCCTGGATTCGAGCCCAGGACGAACAAGTAACCAGTAGTCATTAACAACTCGGCCCTCTCGTGGGGCCAATTATGTTGTGTATCGTATTTTAAAGGAAAGGTAATCGAATTCAGCACTTGAGATCGGCCTTAAAATTCGTTAAGTCTCTCACAGTTGTAATTTCAGATCAATAAACTTGCATAGATTTAATGAATGAACCATACAACAGACACTGAAATAAATCTCAAATACGCAAAGAAACGTAAAATTTTTACGTTGTTCAGTAAGTCTGAATAAAGTTAAAAAAAAAAAAAAAAAAAAAAAAAAAAAAACACATGAGGATAATATTGCAAGTTTTTAAAGATATAAAAATGAACACGTTAAATCCGAAGTATGCACATTTTGATACACATTTTAATACACACATACACATTTTAATACACACAGCTTTTAAAGTTTACCCTTTAACAGCTGACACATTTTACTATCTGCTCAAATTCTTTCTGTTCAGCATATCAGAAGGTACCTTTTCTCAGTGTACCAATCAAAGACGGTAATTGCTGCGTCGGGAGTAGGAAATAATGTTCTACGCAAATGATTTTTCAATTTTATGGAAGAAAAGGGAGTCGTAACAAGACAGGTTTAAGCTGCAAGTCAAACTAATAATAATTACTTTGATGTTTGGGAAAAAATTCTTCGTGATGTAGTGTAGTTTGGAACGTTGTCGTGGTGGAAAAAAATTCAATTTCGCGGTCGTTTCCGCACGATCAATGGCAAATAAGCATTTGTGTACCATTTGCCAGTAATTATACAGTGTCTTTCTAGCGGTACTGCTGCAACATGATCTTCCCAATTAAAGAAAGTGGCCATTCGTTTATTCACAAACAGTGCATCACCGGTGAACTTTTTACTGGTGAAAATTCGTGTGGAAAGACCAACTGTGCCGAATGTCATTTGCTCTGGGATTCGACTTTTCTCAATTGTTTGTCTAACTTCAGAACAAGTCTACGAATTTTATCACGGCCAAGAGTGCAGAAAAGCGTTTGTCATGGGCATTGATGGACACCAATTGTAGGTAACCATACGACTTTGGGTAACTGCGTCCCAATTTTGAAGGGGTATTTCCTTCAAACTTCAAAGATCCAAGGAAACGGGTCAAAGGGTTCCCCTCTGAACCTACCATCAAATATCTCAAGCGGAAGTTCGGCTCGTGTTGCATTTTATGTGCCGCCATGTCGTAACGATTAAAAACACTTAAAATATCCAAGCCTTCTCGAGGATTGAAAGCCTGGCAAAATGATACGGCAGCCAGCATCACTAAGTATGACAGAAAACACACGTTGCGTCACCTTTTACGATGTCACGCACTGAATTACATTGCCCTTGGCGAAATCTTTCGATCATTTCCGTACACAATCGACAACATGTCTGCTTTTGCACGTTGTCAGTTCATGGCAGAATTCTTCTGCAACAGAGCTTTAAACAAACAGGTAGGTGATCATGCAAGCTCGTTTAAATTTGATTCATACTAATGCATAGAAAATCATGAATCCCAATGCACTTCACTCATTTGTACTTTGTAACCATACGCTGTAATCATCCTCTGTTAACACAATCAGAGATTATTTTCGCATTGTTCATAACAATTTTTGTTGCCTACGATGAAACTCACTAAACCAAATGAAAACGGCAACAAGACGACGTACGCATCTCGCAAAACTCAAGAAGAACAGCTGTGAAACGTTAAAATTTTGTATATGGGAAAGCTACAATATATAGTTGTGTACTTCCCTTTTTCATTGCAATCAGCATCACTTATATATGTTACCGGCAATATACGAGATGCCGCCATTCCATAGAATGCCGAGGCATTTTATAAAACGCTTAGCGTTTTTAGGCAAAGTATGAAATATGAGAATTATTATGCCCAACAGCCAAATGAATTTCGTGAAGTACGTAAAATAACTGATACCTTCTTTAACAGGACAAATGAGTTTGCTTTCTTCCCCAGAAACATCACATAATAGCGATTCAGCAACTAATAGTTCCTTCTTAGCAGTCATTTTTACATCGTTTATTAACTTCTGGTAAGTATTTTCGGTTATTCGAAATGAATCGCAGATGTATTTGCCGGTTTGTCATCTGGCATTCTATAAAATGCCTATACAATGTGTGAAATGTTTAATCATTTCATACATTGCCAGCCAGTTTTTGGCATTGTATAAAATGCCTAGGCATTATACGAAATGCCGGATTTCATACTTTGCTGGTAACATATATACTACATATTCATACCCTGTTAATGGGCTCGGTGAGCTTATTATTTTTATTCTCATGCATTGATAAATTGTGCAATATTTGCCTTAAAAGTGAATTATATTGTTCTTATGTTTCGGTAAAAATTTTTATGCCTTTAGTTCATCTGCATGCAATATTTGTAGATTTATCAAAAATGTTATAGTTTAAGTGGTGCTAGGCCTAACAAGGCCGCCATTTTTTTATTGAAACTCTTAGTAAAATAGCGAATTAAGTCAGTTGGGGCACCTAACTTCGCCATCTTTTTGTCCAGTGAGAGCTAAAGTTAACGTTCAGTTCTATGCACCGAAAATTTGGTTTTTCTGCCTGTTGGCCAAATTGCTTGGTTTGGCGTAGAAACTCTTAATTTTGATTGTAAAAATAGTTTTTAGTTTTTTTTTTTTTTTTTTATTGTATTTGGTATTTTAGGTTTTTCTGTATTCTGCAATTTTTAATGAAGATGTTTTGGAATTTCATGACCTTGCCGCGAAATGAAACTGAATTGATTGAATGAGAAATCTATCTCTAATGAAATTCGAGGAAATAAGTTTAAATGAAATGCAGCAACAAATGTGTATAATTTAACAGGCTGCAAAAGGAAGTCATATGGTGTTTACATAAGTTGTTTTAAAATAACTGTTAATAAAATACTTGGTATCAATTCATTTCATAAATCTTAGACATAACTCATCACATAGATTATCACACTGATTTAAAATGTTGTAGTAAAATATTGCTTCCAAATCAAATAATATGCGCCTTATACAACTTACATTTTGTCTTTATTTAAATAGTCAAATTATTACCATATCCAAAAGATGTAATTCCTTTGCACACTTTGGCATGCCCTCTCTTTAAACAAAAGAAAAAAGGGGGGAAACCCCCCAAATTTCCAGGTTTGAGAAATCATAATTTTCCAGATGAAAAGGAATTTCACTCTGTAATCAAACGTTTATGCAAATAGCAATTTGAAACTATTGAAGTTTAAACTTTAAGAGTCTACTGTTTCTATCTATTATTCCTTTGCTGACTTTGGCATGCCCTCACTTAAAAAAAAAAAAAAAAAAAAAAAAAAAAAAAAAAATTCCAAGTTTGAGAAATTACAATTTGCTAGATGAAAAGGAGTTTCACTCTGTAATCGAACGTTTATACAAATGGCAATTTGAAACCATTGCAGTTTAATCTTCAAAGACTCTACTGTTAACCACTAAACATTGATATCTCAATTTGTGTTCAAATCCCGTCAAATGAGTTCACTGCATGGAAATTTTCCCCATGTGCAACATAATATGAGCCAGTTTTTTTTAAGCAGGTCGTCCCTCCCTTTAGGCAAGATAGCACTCGTAAGCTTTGCCATAATCTAAATAAAACAGTCCTTCAGGTTGAAATCTTACTACCGATTTTCTCAGTTTTAGAAGTCACCAAGTGATCTTTTAATTCTTGTATCCACAAAATCATTGACTTAAATTCCACCTTAAAGGTGGAATTTTAGTCTTTAAAATTATCACCAATATTTTTGTGAAAAGCCATCAAATTTTATCAACTAAAGATTAATTACCATTCCTTCGAAGTTAATATTTTTTTCAAATAAAATCTGTAAAATTTTCCTGTAAACTCTTACAAGAAAATTTAGTATACATGGCTGCTTAAACAATATGTGTATGCCAGTTAATAAGTAAGTAATATAATACATAGTTTTAACTGTATGAGAATGAATTCGCTTTGTTTAACAAATCTAGTTATGCAAAATAATTTTCTTAGTCTTAATTTTCCCTCCTCCCATAACTTAAATTTTGTATATTTTTACTAAAAGCTGTTATGTGACCAAAACTTCATTAAACTGGAAACATGGCTGTTCAACAACACATTAAACAGAAATTCAGTTATGCAAGCTTTCAGAAATATTCTGTATAAAACAGCTTATTCAGGAGTTGTGCAATCTGACATTGTTCCTATCTGTAATTTTGAAATTTTAATTACATTAATGAATGCAGCAAATATATATGCTCAGTAATAAATCCAAATAAAAATATGCTCTATAATTCTTTTATTTACCTAGGATGTCATATGGACTTCGATGCAATAGTAACACTGAAGAATATTTCAAAAACTGTGACCTCACATCAAGAGCTCTCAATGTGGGAATGAAAGTGAGACTTGAGCCAAAACCATCAGTCAGATTTAATGTAAATCACATCAAAGATGCCCCAAACTTCGCAAAAATCAGAATAGGCTTGACCTCACAGCCAAAAGGAGTTAAAGTAAATGTTAATGCAAAAGAAGCAAAATTAAATTTCTTTTCAAAGTATTTGGGTGCATATTTCAGGATGAAGCCATTTTTTACTTTGCATCAGTATGTGACCAGATAAATTCTGACAGAAGAGTTATTGCACCTATTTCTTTACCTTCATGCTAGTTTTATTTTACAGCATTCAAAAAAGAAAGTATGGAAAATTAAGATCATAGCATATTCATCATTAATTTATAAAACTTGTAAATACAACCAACTTTATTATAAATTATGTATCATTTTGAATAAAAATTTTTATATAGATGCATTTTATTTATGAAGTTTGTTTTAAAAATGCCTTTATCAATGCAATTTTTATATGTTGCATGCCAAAAAAAAAATAAAGACTATCAATATCATTACATTTGTTTTGAATATAGGAAGTAAAGAAAAAGTATGCTTCCATTCTATTTTGCAACCACTGTTGTGACACATGTAAAATCCATTCACCAACTAAGTCTCCCAAAAAATTATTGGATATTTTTGATTTCTAAAATTAATGTCAAAAGTAACATGCATTAAACTGAAAATATAAAATTTAATTTTCATTGAAATACATATTCTCAGTGGTCTTTTTACACTAAATATATTTTCTTAAGCTTTATATACTAAGATGAAAAATTAATATTTTCTGAGTAAGAAAATTATATCACAAAAGTGATCAGACACTTATTACCTGATCAGATAAAATTCTTAAAATTGATTTACATGTTGTTGGATTTATTAGCTTTAAGACTGTTCAAGATTTTAGTCAGAATTTTAAATAGATTTTTTATTATTCCTAGCTTAATTTTTCTTCAAGCATTCTGTATAATTAATTTAAACTGCTGTTTTAAAGAAATATTTCATTTTCAAAATTTTATATTCTATTTATTGCCAGATGTATTCTATTTGAATATTTCAAGAGTACTAAACAGCAACCAAAACTGCAAATTCATTTCAGTATGTTTTTATGTTCAAGTTTTATGAAAATGATTTCAAATTTTATTTTCCAGTATTAATATGTATGCATTGATTCATTACAATATCAATACATTTAAGATTGTTTCAAAAGGCAATATACATTCATACACTGTAACTCCACTTTTGCCATTTTCTACAGTTGGAACTAATTTCAGTTTTTGAAATTCTTTCCTGACTCTTTTATGAGCTATAATGACCATCTTAATAAAATATATCAAATTAACTTCATCAAATATTATTTTATTCCGGTAATTAGAATTCTTATATCTTATAGATTTTGAAAAAGAAAGCTGAAGTTTTCTGTCCTCCCACTATAACAAAATCTTTAACTTGCCATTTAGCCACTGTATTCAGCATACTGAATTACTATTTTAACAATCTCTTCATTGATGGTTACGATTAATGCATAACTAATAAAATTCTTCTTCAGGTTTGGGAGAAGTCTTTGATTATTTTAATTATTTTTGACAAAATTCCATTGCATTCCTCATGACATTATAAAGTTCTAGTTAAATTACGAGTTCTTGGCAATTAATTAAATCTTTGGAGAGTAGTGACCATTCACTATTCTTTTTACAACTATAAAAACAAAGTCCAAAGAAGGGTTAAAATACCCTTTGATTCCATTCAAAGAATAATACAGTTGGCCTCTCTTGGGCTTAAAGGAAAGTGTAGTCCAGTCAATTAAGGTTGCTATAACTTTTATGAGTTTAAACGAGAACCTTCTGTACTAGTTGCAGTGAAGACATTAATTAATTAAGCTTTTGATGGAGTAATTGCTAATAAGAGATGCCTTGTCTCTGGTTTACAGAATTTCAGTTAAAAGATTTAAATTATAAAATCAATGAATAAATTAAAATTCCAAAAAGGACAGACTGATTTTTACTTCTTTGTACGAAGTAAAAAGGAAATATTCTAATCGCAAAAAGTTTCAGGCATTATATATTCACTTTCACTACTATTGAATGCAATTTAACTATATTTTTGCATGACATCTGTGCAGAAAACAATAAAGGACTCTTTTCTTCCAAAAAAAAAAAAAAAAAAAAAAAAAAAATTATAAAAACGTTTTAAAATGAATTTTAAAGAGAATTTTTCGTACCGTTTGTGTGTACATACTCAAAACTAACGCATAACACAAAAACAAGTAGCCTCAGAACGTTGAAATTTTGTATATAGGATTGCTATAACATGTAGATGTGCACCTCGTATTTTGGTTGCGATCGGCCGCACCAAATATATATATATATATATCCATTCTGTTACTTGGTTCAGTGATCTGAGTTTCTTTATTCTTATATGTTTGTAAATTGTGCAATTTTTGCTTTAAAAATGATTGACTTATATTATTCTTATCTTCTAATTAAGGTTTTTATGCCTTTAGTAAATCTGCATACACTATTTGTAGAAGTGTCAACAATTTAAAAGTTGTTTAAGTGCGTGCCAAGGCTAATTATTTTTGCCATGGTGGCCATGTTTGTTTACATTTGAAACTTGGCAGAATAGTGGATTTGTTGCCAATTTAGAGAAACAAAGCTACACAACCACAAAGGTAATACCTTCTTTTATTACTGCGAATTAAATCATGCTTAATGCATTCAGGAATTTATTCAAGAAAATAAGTGTTTAAGATTTACTTTGTAATTTTTAATATAGATATTTTGAGTTTTTATGTATTTTAGCCTTGTAGCCAGTGCTAACTGAATTGAATGAGAAATGCTGAATGGTCTGAGAAAACTGTTTCTTTTCTTTTCTTTTCTTTTTTTTTTTAATTTCTTTTATATATCATTTTAGATTTATTATGATATTTCAATAGAGCATGTGGCAATGATTAGATAATTCTTCAGATGATATAAATTTTGTGCATTCTGAGTTATAAAATGAATGAAATGTAATGCTGTTAAAGGAATTTAGTGCTACAGTGTCACTATGATAAATAAATATAGTGATTTTAAAAAGTGCATTTATTCTATTGTGGTTTATGTGCTATCGATGAAGTAGATCTAATTCAATCAAATAAGTTTAAATGAAATGCAAGAAAAATGCATATAATTTAATATTCTGTACAAGGAAGTCATGTGGTGTACACATCAGATTTTTTTTTGCGTACTGAATTCAGATACAAATCTAAATATCTGTCATAGAAATTTATCAAAGAAAATGCTTTTAAAATACAAATGAGGCAGTATGTATCCTTGGTCACATCTTTATAAAAGAAGGTACAAAATTTGTAAAAAGTTTGTTTAGGACATAAAATCTTATAACTAGAACAGTTTTTGAAAATATTATACAAAATTCATATAAGCTGATATGTATAGGTATCAATACGATAGAAGTATGTTCTTTATTACTGACACACTACAGAAACTTTGAAATTTTAAAGTATTCTATTTCATGGTTTGTGTAGAGCTCAACAGGATGCATGGTACTTTCACTACACAAAAGCTACTGATACAATCCCACTTAATAACTTCATAATTATCAATGACAGCATATGTCATAATTCTTCATTAAACATTATAACTGTAACTTAACATTACTTTCATGAATGAACCTCTTTCCAGATTATGAAAAGCCAGTTCTAGGTATAGTTTTTTGTGATAAAACCTTTTTTCCCACAGAAGTAAAATGATTGTTGTATTGTACCACAAAAGTAAAATCATTGTTGCATGGCTTCACACCAACATCTACTCAATACAAACATGTTTACAATAATTATATTTTACTTGAGATAGTATATTACTTTAACAAAATTTTGTGTGAAAAATTCGTACCAAAAATGAGAGGTGAAGGCAATATTTAATATCTATTTTGATAAATCATGATTATTATTACATTTTGTTAGTTCAAAATTAATCTGGAAACTGATAATGAAAAATTTGAGAAGTATCAGAAAAAAATTATGTTCGGAAATAATATGAAAAATAAATGGCTGATTTATATTGAGGTATTATGCATATTCTCAATACTGTTTTTAAATAATAATCTGAATTGTCCTATATTATTTTGACTCACATTTCAAAACACAAAAATAGTACATATTAAAGAGTCTGTATTTATGGAACAGTAAAATTTAAATATGAGAGGTATAAAATGTGAAAACAAGATGTATAAAAAACTTTACTAAATATTTACAAAAGATATGGTGGCATATTTATATTACAATGCAACTGCATAACATGATGTCGAAGGGCTTTGCAGCTTTGCCATTAACTGCCAATAATGGAAGATTAATGATCTTGCTTGTGCCGTTTCCAAAACCTTTTAACATCATCATGACCACTCTTACTAACTAACATCACCCGTCTTGAAGGATTGCTGAAGATTAAAACACCCAAATCCTATTGTAACAGAGAAAAACAAAATTAAGTTTCTGAGAAGCATCTTATGCCAGCTTAAAAGCGGTATTCAAACTTTAAAATACATTTGGAAATTATTGGATGTGCTAGGGCAACAAAAATCAGGGTAATACTCATAAATTTGTAGGATTAGCTTTGAAGTTTTATATATAGAACATTCTTCGTCAGTAGCATAAGTGCACATGATGAAAGAGAAGCCTGCACTCAGGTAAACACAATGACAGGAAGAAAGTAATTTCCTTAAAAGCTGAAGGTAAAAAGTTTTGGTGTCCTAGCACCTCCAAAAACTGTTACTCCATGTGTTATTTTAACCCAGATACATTTAGAAAAATTAATTATTGATTAGTTTTGAAGTATTCCCGGGATTACAACTTATACAGGAATCAAGTATTGTAGAACATCACGTTTTCTAAATTTAATCCAACAATGATAAAAGAATACAGTCAAATACCGAAAATCTGCCGACCTGAAATACCACCAACTCCTGAAATCCGCGTTGCCTCTCAAAATATAAACATTCAGTTTATAGGTTCCTGAAACCGCAACATCGAGTACGAAATATCAGAGAAAAGATACTTACCGAATAATAATGAGTCATAACAGAAATACCAAATTATTGACAAAAAAAAAAAGTTTAAAAAAATAAGATAAAAGTTTTTTCCCCTCTAATCTTTGCATCGAGGTAAAAAAGCACACGATACACTCAACTCCGTGTTGAAGTTCACGATTCATGTTGTATTTTCTGAGCTTTGTTATTTCACGAGATTGTTTAGTGCTGCTTTTTTTTTTTAATCCTGATATTTTGTGGATAAATTAAGAATATTTTAAATTTTAGCCCTTTTTAATACAATAACATATAAGAAGTGCACTCACTATTTTACTGCTTGCAACGTTGAAAAATGTAAACATGCTACATTGACGGTAACGCAAAAAGTGCAAATTCTGCAAAAGATGGAGGCAGGTGCTACACGATTGTGTGTGATATACGAAAAATAAAGAAAAAGCTGTTCATATTTTACAGCAACAGTGATTCTAACACCGGAATCCGAAACCGGAAATCTTTGCATGAGGCGAAATCGGCAAACCTCGATGCTGTGTACATATAATACAATGAATATTATAATCAATTTATATATGTAATAATAATTTAATGCATATAATAAATTATTTCAATAGTGCATATAATAATTTAACTAAATGTACCTAATAACGCCTTAATTATTTTGCACTTTTAGTCCGAATATTATGTTTTATCTTTTCTGTCCTGAAATCTGCAAAATCCTAAAATCCGCACAACCTCTGGTCCCGAGCTGTGCGGATTTCTGGACTTCTACTGTACTTTAATTTTTAGTAGTACTAAGCACTTTTATTTAGTGGTAGAAGTTTTAAAGTACCTAAGAACTGAATTCAAATATGCTTTTTTTTAATGGAATTTTGAACATATATATTCACAAAGGGATCTTCAATAGGAGGCCTCTTTCTCAGAATTTGAACTTTTTGAAATATTTTAATTAAAACTTTCTTGAAACACAGTCAGAATTAAAAGAACCGTATGCTTTGTATTTTGATACAATTTGATTTGAAGTGACCTGAAAATTTTTACTCTGATAGTGATAAACAAGAGGCATTATATTTTAGATTAGATAAATAAACTGATTTCTATGTTTAATTATGTTTACATGCTAGAAAATATTAATGTTTTTATCAATTGCTGCTACAGAAATAAGTTTTTCTGCAATACAGTAAACTAAGACACACTTCAAAGCAATACAAGCACAAATTCCCTCAAGAAAGTTGATTATTTATCAATAGAGAAAGGCATTACAATAAATATGAAAAATACTCAAAAGAAATATTTTATGAAAAAATTACAATTAAGAATAGAAAAAAAATAGGAAGGAAATGAAATTTACGTGCATAAACTATTAGGATTTCGTTGCAATTAAAATTGTAAAATTACTTTGCAAATAAATTTCCCAATAAATAATTAGGAATATAATAACAAAACTGGATATATTCATAGATTATTTTGTATCTACACATGGGAAGGTGGTTTAATAAAGGTACTGCAAAATTACATCTACTGGCAAGATGTGAAGACATCAATTTTCAAAACAGAAATTGACTGGAAGCAGAAAGGTTTCAGATAGGCTGTGTCCTGGACCCAAGACACATAACATTTTCGATTAAAAAGAAACTATGTTAATTATCACACATTTTAACACAATTTGAAATTAAGCAAACATTTTGGCAAAGGAAGGATAATATGAAACTTTTAAATTTCTTTTAAACAACTTTTCAATGCCTTTATATATAAATATATATAAAAAAAAAAAAAAAAATCAATAAACCAATATATAAAATTCCACAACACAAAACTGTCATCTGATTTATATATTTATTTTACATGCCATAGGCTATGAATTTATTTTTTCCTAGCATTACTTGCATTTCCCTTACACTATTTACAATTTGTGAAAAAGTCACATTAAGTTACTGTAAGTAATAATCTATCTTCTTCGCACTGCATGCCTATACAATATAAAAGATATACACAGTGTCCCTAAAAGTCCTTATGAGGCCTTTATTTTAGCAGCCACTGGTCATGAACATATACTTCTAGTTATGACAACGTTTTAAATGAAGCAAATATTCATGTTTTGTCATTTTTAAATTAAAAAAATTGTAAAAATTATGAAATCTAATTTTTTGCATAGTTTTATGCTTTTCATAGTTATATTTAATAAAAATTATATTTATTCTTAAAAATTTTTTTAAAAAAGAAAAAGAAAAGGAAGAAAATCTGAAAGCCTTCAAATTTTATATTATGTCCAAAAGGGTGTTTTTTTAATGTTTTGTGTCTTACCTTTATTTATTAAATATCATGTTCTTCACACTTGAACCACATAAAATCCAATACAACAGCAATATCACAAAATATCTTTAGAATTTCCGATACACAGTCTCGTGCGCTGGAGATAAAAATGTTTTTATCCATACAGTGTTGTCATTGCTTGCACTGAAATCATTGAGTTTGCTAATAAAAAATTCACTAAAATTTCAAAAAATATGAAGTAGACAATAAAACACATTTGAAATTCTTGCTTCCAGGTGCTCATTTTTGGTTGAAGGACTACGTTATTCAAAATTTGATGGCTCTAGATGTGCTCATTTTTTTACAATGCAAAAAGCATTCATGCATATTATTATTTAGTTTCTTTTAAATATAATACAAGGCAATAATATTTGGTGACAACATTTTGAAAAGTGAACCAATGCAGAGAGTGAAATGATGCAAAATGCTGTTTTGAGACTAATAGCCCTTTGGGTCTTAAAATCCATTTGAGCTTTAAAAAAAAAAACCTACCACCCACAAAATGTTTGACACTTATATGACGAAAACTAAATAAGCTATTTAAAGTTTCAGGTTATGCTCTCTGAAAATTCAGAAGTCATATAGAAACTGAAAAGAGAAATATATATATTTATATCTCCCTAAAATGAAATAATAGCTCAGTAAAAAATTTCAAATGTTAATAGATTGTGTAATGAGCACTGATGCAGACTTTGTGAAACATTTTGAAAAATGAGATCTTATTCACAGACTCTTACAAAGTTCATGCTCTAGAAAGCAGTGACAAGCTTCATTTATTGGGACATATACAACTTGTAACATTTTTTGCATAAATTAAGAACAAAAAATATTTTTAGTGCAATGAAATTTTTGTATGACTATCAGATTGTGATCTTAAAGCAATAAAATTGCATGTTAATGTTACCGATACATTTTTTTTATATCTGAAAAATTATAAATTATTGGTGTGAAAATGCTTCTGGCATAACAACACAACAAAATTATATTGTAAAAAATGTTTGCTACGTACTGGTAAATCAAAAAGGAATATCGCTGAATGACATTCAATATGGTAATAAAACTACATAAAATGATCCTAATTTTTATTTTAACCGACTGCTCACAAGAAGTGATAAGTTAGACATTTTTACATATAAAAGACCTTCAATTTTCAAACGTAAAGAACTTCAGTTCAAAAAGTGTTTCCTTTTTAAAGATAATTTTAAAAAAAATTACAAACTTAAAAATTAGATATGTCAGTTTAGATTTTATAATTCTTTCAAAATTGGTTTAAATTAAAGATGAAACATGAAAAATCTAAACATGGTAAGACATGAAAATTTTGCATTATTTATTTAAAACATTTCTGTTATTTGAAGACGGATAGTCAACCAATGGTTTTGCTACTTGAAGATCAATGGATCTAGAACCAATGGTTGCAAACAAAGTTCACATAAAGGACTTTTATGAACATGATGCTCAAAAGTACATTTAGAAATTTGCATTTGCCATTCCTCATTTTGGCATAAAATTTAAAAAAAACAATAAAAAAGAAATTTTTCCCCAAGTTAACACAGTATCTACACTAATCTGTACCCCACCCAGATTTTTTTTTATGGAAAATTTCATGTACTTTCTAATCTGACAGAAACTTCGCAATATTTCAACATGTGATAGAAATTTGAAATAGATTTCTGCTTTGGCATCTTTTAATTTAAAAGAAATAATTTTCATCTAAAGTTTCTCAGGACTTCTAGATCAGGGGTTCTCAACCAGTGGTACGCAAGAGGAAAATAGGTGGTAAGCAAAGTATTTTTAACTATTAAATTCAAAAATTAAACCCCCAACATCCTGATGCTTGTGCTACAAAATGTACACTGCCTAAATTTGCATTTTACGGGTATATGTCCAGCGTTTTTTAGTCTCTTTTTGTTTGGCACATGAAATTTGTGGATTTTTATGTTAACAGGGAGGGCGCTTGGTCTTTTTTGGCTTTGGTATGAATCTTTTGTTTCTCATTTGTATTTATTTTATTCGTATTTCATCCCAAAATATTTATAAAATATTTTAAATTTAAATAAAGCTTTTACACGATTTCTATTTTTAATTTTAGCAAAATATATTATATTTAAACCACACAAAATAATTTATAAAATCACAATAATAGCATAGGAAGCAAGCATGTTGAGGTCAGAGAAAAATTTCTGGAAAAGAAACACTTTTTCACTGGGCAGGTGTATGTATTGTTTAGTAATAAAATAACACTGTAGTTTCAAAGCCCCTTATCTATATCCAGATAAAAATAAACATTCCTATTTGAAAAGTAAGCAAACACCATTGTGAAGAGGCTCAGTGGTTGCGCCTTGAAACCACAAAGAAAATGCCATGAATATACCAAGTCCCCCCCAATATGCAGTTTAATTATTGCTATTTTTTATTGTTTATGATAGTAATAATAATGTGAGAAACGGTTAATATAAAAAATTATGCTGAAAATCATTAAAGCACAGGGAAAGGAATTTGTCCAATTTACACTTCATGAATTCAATAAACTTCATTTTTTACTGGGAAACATTTTCCTTATTAATGTCTGAATGATGAAACCGAGACGTGTTGAAAAACAGAAGTCTCTGGTGAAAACAAGACAGTTGGCAATTATGTGTATTATGTATGTAAGCATAAATTATGAACATCACTGAAAATATTTCTAGCTTTTAGGATATCATAAATTTTGTCATGTGTAAACATATTATTCATGATATCATAAATATCATCTAAAAAATAAAGTACCTGTGCGTAGTTACAAAGCAACTCAAAATCACTTTGTGATAAGAACTGGCTGTATAAGACACCTTCCGTGAACTTAAAACGATCTCGTTCCATTTCCCATAATCGAATTTGGTCCACAACAGTTGGAGGTAAGATTGGTTTCTATATTAAAAAAAAATGCTCAGATTAGAATCATCAATTTCGTTTACAGATTATTTTACAATTTTAAGAATTATTGACCTTCCAATAAATTGAAATATGAAGTGATGCATGATTGGACACAATTTGAAATTTATAAAAAAGAATGACAACACAGTGCTATAAAATTATGAAATTTTTTTTTAAAAATGCTAAGTATGAATTTCAAAGTTGAAGATTTACATTCATTGAAGAACCTCAAATAAGAATTTTTGTAGCACAATTATGGTCCCACAATAAAGGTGCCTTCAGTCCAGGTCACCCAGAAACTTAATAATCACTCTTTTAGGGAATCTAAGTTCCCTTTTCAATTTCATTCTTGACACATTAAATATTTTCACCTGACATTTATTTTTTGGCATCTAATTCAATTAAGATACAACCTTTAGCTTGCATCTAATAAAAGAAGAAACTTTCCCAAAAGTACATGAAACAATTACCACTTTTTGTCAATATTGTTACAAAATGTACAGGCGCGGTAAGATAGCTTCCCTGCAAAGCAGTTTTAGGGTTGCCATAAAATGGCAAGGGAAGGCAGGGTTGCCAAATGTCACCAAATGGGTGATTTCTCGCCAAATGGCACCTTCCTTCACGTTCGTACGGGGTTCGTGTGGATTTGGAGTGAATAATGATGACACCTGATGAAGTATCGAAACACACTTCATTGGCCAGTATTGTCAGGACAGCTAAAAAACACGTTTTACAGTCGTCGATGAACTACTATAAACACGCTGACACGATCAGTGATGCAGCCTCCAGGTTATCAGGCTATCACAGTGGAGACAGCTTCACGGCAAAGCACTAGAGTACAGCTCCCGTCTCTGCTTGGTCGTTCTCGGAACTCCACATACTCTCAAGACTCTCCACGCTACAACTCGCGATGCACTCAACGACACATGAGCACAGCTCGCGACTCTTCGGTTCAGTCATTGCCGGAGCTCAACATGCTCTTTCGACGATGTACTAATCGCGATACACTAACAGCCTCCGTCGGTGCACTCGACGACCCACTCGGCACTCGCTGCCTGGCTGTCAACTCGATTGACTCTGCAGGGATTGACTCGAGACTAACTATTTTGCACTCTCGGGCACACACACACTAACTGACTGTGAACCGCAGGGTTATTTTTTCGGTTGTGTTTGAAACATTCTGGGCTAAACCAGTAAGAATTCGTTCCAGAAGGTTCTCCATCTGTCCATGGTATATCGCCAATTTTGTTGCCAAATAGGTGGTTTCTTGCCAAATGTGGCAACCTTGCATTCCCTTGCCATTTTATGGCAACCCTAAAACTGCTTTGCAGGGAAGCTATCTTACCGCGCCTGTACATTTCGTAACAATATCTTTTCATCGAGATTCAATTGCATAAAAAACAGAGGCAAAATAATTCTCTCTGTGCTAACAAATCTTTAATGCAATAAGTTTTTGCTTCTAATGGCAGCTTTTTCTTTCATTGTTATGAATCACTTGAAGCATCAAGCATAACCACGTTGTTGACCAAGTAACACATGGAATATTTTAAAGTTTCGACAAATATCATTCATTCAAGATCAATATATTTTACAAGGGCAATGACTGATTTCAATTTTTCATTGAAATGTACAGAATGATCAATGTTGTAATTTCCCCCCCTCCATTAAAAACCTCCATAGGTAATTTTACACAGTTTTTAAAGCTAATCTAACATTAGGAATTTGTAGTTTTATATGAAGGGAAAATTGGGGACAAATTACCTTCAATGATCAATTTAGATTCTGTTTTTTATGCTTCTTTAAAGAGACATACAGGAAGCCCTAGTTGGTGTTCTTAAATACAGCCAATAATAATTAGTTTAGCAGTAGCACTAAAATATCAGAAGAAATTACAAAGTTACATATATTTTCAGGGATTTTTATGGCAAAAACATCACACTGAATAAGTGATCTGAATATTTTATTATGACTATCTACAAGATATGATATTGCAACTTCCAAGTTACTAATAAAAATTTTTCTTATCACAGTTTTATATAACTCATTCATGTACATCAAATTATCACTACAGTATTTAAATACAGTTATATACAGCATATCTGTAATAACTCTGTAATTTAATGATTCTTCTAATTTTCAACAATAATATACCAATTTAGAATACAGAGATATCGGAAATGTTGATGCATTATGATCAATTGGATAATTATGCAAATTATGATCAATTGGAGGGCAAGTTTGATGCCAGCAGCTGTGGTAATTCCAGCTCCTATGGCATATCTAATTTGTCATCACTATTTGTAATGACAAATTAGATATGCCATAGGAGCTGGAATTACCACAGCTGCTGGCATCAAACTTGCCCTCCAATTGATCCTCATTAGAGAATTTAAAGTGTACTCATTCCAATTACGAGGTCTCAAAAGTCTCCCATGTTATAATTTTTATCACTTCTTCCCTATTCTAGTAGTGGGTAGCTATGCCTGCTGCCCTTCTTGGATGTGGTAGCCATTTCTCAGGCTTCCTCTCCAAAGTCAAACCTTGATTCCTCATCACCCCTTACGATATAATAGGCATGCAACCTATCATCGACAGTTGATAAGACAAATACTTAAAAGATACATTGCGGGACAAGCCCACACAATCAGATGAAAGTTATACAGAGTCACCACATAATATGGACATAAGGTCTGATAAGTTTAGGTTTAATAAAAGTACTCATTCCCAGGGGGTCGGAGCTCTGCAGCATGTATTAGCTCTAAAATTGCTACAGTTATCCAAGTAATAAGGTATAACCCAAGCAGCCATAATCCATTTAAAAAGCCATTAATTGCAGCCATGCATCTCTAAGCCATTCCATGTTGAGTGGTTTTCCCTCAACATGGAATGTACTTAGAGATGCATGGCTTAATCTTTTAGACAAGTATATAACCACTGATACAATCAACCAGAGCTTTTTTTTTTTTTTTTTCATGTTCATGGAACATTCCAGCTGCACACAACTTGAATCTGCCAGTGATAGTGTATGCCTTCAAAATGCACTGGCAGCTGTTGACTTGCAATGGCTCCTCATTTATTTCATGTGCACGGAATTTTACTTTGTGCTTTTGGTAGCAGTTCAAAACTCACTACATCCTCCACAGCATTAGCACTGGGAGGTGAGTCTTCGTAAGCATCAAGAAGTTTTAATGCATGGGACACAGATGTCAAAAACCCTGCATTTCAATTTTTATTAGATTTCTACAGAGCACAGCAATGGTACAGGGGCTGAGTTGCTTGCAGATGAGCCGAGGATGGCTTTGATTTAATGTTGGCTTGAGAAGATGAAGGAAGCACGAGACCAAATTACAGAACTTTTTTTGCACCATTCAAAACTGTTAATTCCTATCAAATGGAATCAATCATGATAAATTCTTTAGTATATGTCCACGGGTTTTTAATAACATTAATTTCTCAATTCCAGGTCTTCAGGAACTTTTTAATTACTAAATTTCATGGAAATGCAGCATACAGATGTTCATGTTCACTGAATACTCATATTTCAATTAAATAAAATTCAGCATTCTCTCCCTGAATAGTTAAGTTTTCCTATTGTACCTTTCTTTAAACAGTAAGAAATAATAGAATTTCAAAACAAAATTTAAAAAATTAGCAAAGTACAAAATCTTATTTCAATATAATACTAATAATGGACAAAAACTACATAATTAGAAGAGAAATCTGGTAAAAATTAATGAACATTTTGTGATCTCAACATGGAATTCCATTTTGAGAACTATAAAACAACTCTACATGATTTAATCATGATAATGGTATACAAAATAGTTCAATAATTATGTATGCACACCGTTGAGTAATAAAATGAGTACTGTACCTGTTTCAACATTTCAGGATGAGCATGCATTTGTAAAAATTTTATTATCTAGAGGGGAGAAAAAAGATAGAAAACCAATTTGTGTAATGAAATTTCAGAACAAATAGCCAGCAATAAAATAATACATAGACAGAAAATACTTTCTCATAATCCAAAAATTACAGTAAATGAACTTCTGCATATAAGTAATTAAAAAAAATAATCTTATGTTATGGAAACAAAAAATTTGAAAATGAGAGTTAATTTCTTTCAGTTAAATCAGAGACTTCCAGTTATTTGTTACAGCTTAACACTAGGGAGAAGCAGTAAATTAATTTAAACACTCAGAATTAATTTATTTATTTCAATTAAAATGTAAGTTAATTTCCAATTAGCAAAGAAAGCGAAAGACTTCTTCAAACCTGATCAGCTGTTATACCACTTTTTAAGGCTTCACGCACACTTTCTCTTGTAAATACACCAACAGAAAAATTTGGAAATCTAAAATGAAATCATATAAGAATGAGTTCCAGAATCAAATCTACAAAATAAAAAACTAACAGTTTAACACACACACAAAATTATTGATGTTAAAAAGTACAATGAATAGCCAAAACATTACAAGCATCAAATATCATCTTGATCCTCTTCTACCCCTCTAATCAATATTCTGCTCATGATGAAGTGTCAATTCTGTAAGATGTTGAAGGGCTAATGCAGGAACTACAAGTCGCATTTACTGAACATATGCAGAGGGGGGACCCTCTATGTATTTGGCCTAGATTCACAGATCTGATGTTTCTTTAAATACCATTCCATAGAAAATTCACTAGGTTAGAAATTCGGAGATCTAAGAAGCCAATGGATAATCTGGAACTAAGCCAAGTGAATTTGCCTTGACTATGTCTGTGTGGTAGTAAGAAAGGATATATTACACTAGTGGAGGAGGGAAAACTGCCTCTCTGAGAATGTGCGAAGTCACGAAAAGATGTAGATCAAGGATACCTGACCTTTTAGAACTTGCACATGACATCACCCCAACAATAATTTGGCAAATGTTACATCATTTATGCCGAGGATAATAAACAATAACATTTATATTTGATCACAATGTAAACTACATGTTAGGTTTGCTTCTAATAAAATTACAATATCAGCATAACACTTTTTTATATTAGAAATAAAATCACTTTTTTAAAAAAACCTATGCATTTATAATTACTTTGATGGATACAACTACAGTGCAAAGAGTACCAGGAGTATATTTGAGACATTCACCTGAATTTGTTCTTATTTTAATTTCTGATACTTCATATAATGCAAATTTGTAATCAAATAAACATACTTTCAATGAGAAAAAATATGAAGATGGAATGTTCATGAAACACTGGAAACTTTCCGTTCACTAAGCAGAACTTATGAAAGTCACTAAAAACATTTTTTCTCACCTAACATACCCGAATGTAACTTTAACAGAAATTAGCACTAAAAAATAGACTAAATGCTGTTTTATTATTATTATTATTATTATTATTTTGAAATCTTGAATATACTCTATATCGCTCAGATGGTATAGTGGTTGGGGAAGCTGACTGCAATACCAAAGGGCCCAGGTTCGAATCCCAGAGAAGACATGGTTGTAACCGTCTGTCCCTTCATAGGAGCCAAAGGTGGCCCACTATTGGGTGCCTCCACAATAAAGTGACTACTGCTTCTGACCTTAGTAGTGGCCAAGCCCAAGTCGGCTGAGGACTCACCATTGGGAGGAAGAGATATACTCAAACTGCTCTCATCAAAGTACAACCAATGTCTCATATTTTTTGCTGTTTATATAATTTTACTCATAAAAACTTCTGAAGTGAATTACGGTATTGCTTTATGAGTAGAGATGCTTAAATATCAATTTAATTTCAAATGTTGCCAATCTTTAATACATCGTTTTTTAACTAGTTTTGGCCTTAAAAATACATGCCCAGTTCAACATAATTATCCACTAAAAATCATCAAACCACTTGTCATTTCATATTCAGTGTCACTCATGCACACCTTTTCATTCATTTTTTCAGTTATACAACTTGAAATGCATTAACCCCTTCGTGCCGACTGTCACGTCTACGTGCCAGCAACGAACACACTCACCTCCCGGCCGACACGCAGGGTGACAGATTTTGCGTTTTCCCGATGTCACGATTGTGCCAGTTGAACGTTTTCAAACTATAATTCTGCCACAGATGCACGATGCCCATGGTTTCAGTACTGTACATAGACCTTCACCAAAAGATAAGCATGACTCACTACACTTTTTTTGATTGTATAAACAACGGGGACCTCAATGTTCCGCATGGCTTGATTATACGTATCTTAATCGCACTATATTCGCCGGAGTTGTTTATTGTAAGTAGAAGTTTTATATGCGCTAAAGCGTTTGTATTTCATTTACCGTTCAGTTTTTAGAAATAATTAATCTTGTAGACGTGAATTTGTTTTACCGTCTCAATTGAAGCGTCAAATGTTAAGCGCATGAAATACAAATGATGCAAATATTTCATATTCTGATATTGATTCTGAAAGATTAACTGAAAGCATTTCCAAAACTGTTCAGAAGAGACTGAAGAAAGGAGACCGTCTCGTTGGTACACATTCCGGAAAAGCCTCCAAACGGCAATGAGTATTACGAGTTACGGAATGTACGTCGGACGGTGTGAGAGCCCTTTTTCAAATTTTTTCAAAAGAGAATTTAAGATCTATTTATTTTTAGATGATAATGTTAAAATTCATAAATGGTGAGTAATTAAAAATAAAATGTGTAAAAATATTTAAACAAAATCGGTAATTAAGTATCTATATAAACTATTATAACGCATAGCGTTTAAAACTAAGAGCATTATTAAACAATGGTTGATACTTCGGAATTTCATGGAATTAGGCTTATAGCAAAAAAGCCCCGGCCCTGGAGAGATGTCACGAAACTGCCGCCTCGCGATAAGCGCGCGTTTTCACTACCCGGCTCGAAGGGGTTAATGAAATTTGAAAGCCACGTATAGCTTGCAAACACCCATTGTAGTTCCACATGTGGACCCACTGCTGGTCTGCCTGATTTAAATGCTGAGTTAACTCATTTTTGTACTACTATTTAAGAATATAATATATATTCCATGAGAATGCAAGCACTTCCTTAAATACTTTAAGTATTACAATTTTGTTGCTAGCACCATCATAGAACTAGTACTCTTTTGAACAAAGAAGCTACGTAGGATAGGCCCACAGAAAATACAAAAATAATGTCAACAAGTTCTTTATACTACCATTAGTTAGCTTTTAGTGCAGACAGAAATGTAGTTGATCTGACCAATTTACAAAAACAATTCTGCAGAGGCCCAGATTTAATATTTCAAGGCCCATGGAAATAATTAACAGTATGCACATGTGTAAAAAAATAGGTTTTCATAGTTATGCGTTTATACCATCCGCTGATGTGTTTGCTGTTCTTTGGAATCCTGGTACCGAGTTTTGAAATGATCAGCCTGACTAATAATTTGTTCACGTTGTATTTTCTAGACAATTTATCAATAGGATTTTTTTTTTTTTTTAATTTAGCCAGTACTATCAGTATTTTAAAGATCAATGCAAATTGTAACATCCTGCACTCTGAAGGGTACAATTCAAGTTTTTAATTTATAATTAAGCTTCAAATTTAAATCAAAGCACCACCCATCCTTTAACTAAATGGAAATGTTTCCCTACATACATATACAAAATAATACATATATATTAAGGTTCAGGTATAATTAAATTAGTCTACACAAAAGTATACACGATTGATACACTCGCTGTAAACTGACATTTTTAATGTTTGCATCTTAAGCAGACCTGAAAATGAAATAAACTGAAAACTTGAAATCAAAAAGAAAGCATTAAATGTTTTAAATAAATGCCATATATGCAAATTAACTTTTCATTCTATAATTTATAAATGCATGTAGATTTTTAAAGAAGCATTTTATATGCAATAGATTCAATATGATAAATGATGAATTAAGATACAATGCATGACAAAATGAAAAAATATTGTAATATACCTGTACATCATTTCACAGAACAAAGCTATGAGCGCAATTTGAAGATGAGAATCTGTAATGATTATAAGGATATTCACAATGAATATAATTAACACATATAAAATAATAACTATCAATACTGTTTTATCTTGCGCATAAGCTACACTTTTTTTTTTTTCACAAAAAAGGAAATGAAAATCAGGTGTTTTTTGCCTGTCATTTTCATCTCTCTTTTTTTTTGTGTGTGTGTACGCAAAATATGATGAAATAGGTACATACAAACATGTGGCAACACAGTAACACCCATTTAACAACTAAATGTAATAATCCATTGTTGTTGTGTGACTATCACACAGACTCGCTGTAGTTGTGTTTGAAGTCATTTGGAAGAAAATCTCATGCAAACAATTTTACTAAAATGCACATTTTAAATCCCAAGCAAACACAAAAACATGTTCCCTTTGACTGACAGTAAAAATTTTGTTTCAATATGTAGTAAATACCATTTTCATTTTAGCTGTTTTCATGCCTCCAAAATGGGGGGGGGAGGATCATAGATAGTGCACAGGTTACCAGCAGCTTATCTTCAGGAATTTTTTAATTTTTTTTTAATTAGAGGTAAAAATTAATGATGCAGCTTATACATACAGCAATACATTAATGTTTATTTATCTTACAAAAAGATTAACTTTTTTATCTCGTTATACATATTATTGTATTTACAACAAATCAAAAATAATACTTTAGTGCACTGGGCAAAAACATCAAAATGTTACCAAATAAGTGCAAATATATTAAATTTTCTGTTTTTTTATTTAAGTTAATTTTTAAATTTAAATATTATATGATTGAGGATTGAAAGTATTTATGTTAAATTTCATAAGTTTTTCATAGCATACAAATGAGCAAATTAGCAGAATATAAAACAAAAAACACTACAGAAAAAAACAAGTAAGTAACTTTTATTATGCAAAATTATGCAAAAAAACAACCTTGTTTTGGCACTTGTTTCAAACAGAGCTATCAGTTTCAAATGCAGTCAAATAAAGGTTCCTGTTTTTCAAGGAGCAAAAAAAAAAAAAAAAAAAAAAAAAAAAAGTTTGCTTTTCTTTTTTTGAGTGTGCCTAATTTTAAATTTCACATAGGTATGTTTCATTTTGTTTGGTTATCAAAAAGCAGCTGTATTAAATGACACATTTAAAAGCCCACTTTTCTTCTTGATGAAAGATTTCACATTTTTTAATATTTGTAGAAAAATATTTAGTACATCACAAGATTATTTATTAAAATTTTGAATTAACAAGACCATTAAACTATTTTTATTATGAAAGTCCCTCTTAAATTTTTATAATAAATAGATACAGCTAAATGGTACAAGTTAAACTTACAAAATGTTCTGTACAAAGTAGTTTCCTCCTATATCAATGCATTTTATTGGTGAATTTTTCAAAGAATTAAATGCTTCAAACCATCCATTTCTTGTAATTTATGAAAAACATGCTTTTATAGCTTTATCAGACTTATCTTTGAAAATGACACTCATGTAAATTTTGTTTTAGTTACAAAATAGCCAGAGGTCCATCAGATCAGGAGATCAGAAAGATCAGGAGAACATAGTGAATTTCTATCACTTTGATGTTTGACATGTTTTTGCTCAAGAAATTAAAGTCATGTTAAATGAGTCTCAGTCATGTTAAATGAGAAGATGCATTATCATGGTGAAATATGAGCCCCCTAATATTCATTTCTTGAAGAATTTCTGGATGACATCCAGTTTGCTGTTGTAACTATATTATATCCTCTAACTTGATGGCTTTAACCAGTCCTGTATTTCTGAAGAACTGCTTTACACCATTGCATGTTACAGGTCATCTTCAAAAATCCATTGTTAATTTTTTTGATGCATTGGAATGTCAAAAAATGATATATACATTTCATTTTCAGTTATGGTTCTAGAAATAATGTAGTGTCCATCATCATTAGGTAATTTTGGCATTTCTTAATTGATTCTAACATGTTCTGGTTTTTAGTTTAGTGGTTTAGTTAATGAATGGAAGACTCAACAACCAATTAACTTTTTTATATGACGTTTTTAATGAATAATTTTATGTTGACTGTGCATCTAATGTTAAGTTCCTTCTGCATCACTTGGTTGACACGATTATCTCATAAAGATTTTTCATATGACTGACACATTTTTTGAGACTATAGCTGACAGAGGACTTCCTGTATGTTTTTCAACCATCACAGATTTTTTACCTCTATAAAATACTGTAAGCCATCTGAATATAGTGGCACAAGATGAAGCTTCATTTCCATGAGCTAATTGTAGATGTGGAAGCTATTCTTTCTGATTTAGCCTCACTTCAAAGTCATAGAAAACCACAGTATGATAATGCCCCAATTCCCTTTTCCTTTCTTTCTAAAATTTTTTTATGATAGACAAATTGCAATAATTGCCACAAATTATCATCTGTGGGCACATAAAATAGTTCAAATTTACATATCTAACAAATAATTGTTTTTTAGTGTATACTCTCTGCAGCTGTCTCAAAAATTTCAAGAGTTGCTTACATACTT